ATAATGAATATAAGCTTAAAATAGTGTTTGTGCTGGATTCTGTGGATCATTATTATATGCTTTAATGCTTAAGTACAAATATAATTAAGAAAATCTAATATTAGCTTTAGAAAAGAATATCTTAAAAAGCCTATCTAAGAACTTCGAGATGAAAGGCTGGTGAGTCCTCCTTGGAATATTCTAATTTGAATGAATTGTTATAGAAGAGTTAAAATTAAGTGAAGACCTTTACATTATTTGTAAATGATGGTAATGCTAGTAGAATAGGAATGGTAGTATTAGAATGAGCAAACTTTGATACTCAATTAGATGAGAGAAAAATGAGGTATCTCATCATCTGAATTATAGAACTTATGATTTAGATGCTGATCATCATTTAGATTATTCTTATTTAAAAAGTAATTCAGGTATATTATATAGTTAATATATATCATAATTATATTTTATAATTCAAATTATTGAAATTGAAAGTGCATCACAAAAACCATATACCTAGGGATTATTAAAAAGCCAAAAGATAAGCATTTGGATCAAGTGTTTTATTTAGTGCATTTAGAGTTTAATTCCATTTGGCAAAATGAAATTTATATAAATAATAGGATTTATAGATATGTTTTATAAATTAAAAAATATATATAGATGATGTCTAATAAAATGTATATTCATTTTCTTGTAATAGGTTTATTCATAATTCTAGTGACATCACTTCTAATGTGTCTAAATTAGCCTGGATCAGTGTATTTCGAATGTAAAGTATAGACACCATCTAAAAATAGATATATTTTAGAATACCTGCTAAAGGAAGACTGGTAGCAATATCATATGGATGAACCTAACTAGCATTTTTTTTATAATTATCCATACTACTCTATCTTAAGTTATTTTAAGCAGTTTTTAATCCTGCATCTCCAGAATGAATCCATTGTCTTTATACTTAAGTATTTTCTTTTGGATCGATGGCTAAACTTATATGAAAAATTATTACAGTCTCTGTATTTTTCACCTGTAATAACAGAGGTCATTTTCAATCCTTAATCAAAAGGATCTCTTTCTCGACAACCAGCTACTTTTGGCTTTTGAGTTTTATCTGTTAGAATTTCTGCCACATTATTTTCTGGTTATTAAAATGATTATTAGTATGTAGTAATTGCATAAAATTTATTATGTTATTCGGGATGATTTCTAAAGGTAGATCCAAAATCTGTATAATTTTGATGAACAGCTCTATCTACTAATATTTGATGCATATTAGTTTGATCTAATTATTTAATTGATTTTGCTCCTGCAGTTTATGCAACTGTTGAATTACATTCTGGGAAATTAACTTTATCACCATTAGTTTTGATTAGAGACCTACAATCTCCTAATTACATATTTTGAATATTTTTGGCATCATACTTTGTCTGAAATTCAGTTCTGAATTCTCTCTATTAAATTATTATATCATTATACATATCCATCATCTGGTACAATGATCTCTTTGGTTATGTATGGTGGATTACGATTAACTCTTGGTAAAGGAAGTAAACATCCATTATCTCCAGGAATAGATATTCCTTCTTCAACTCCTCGTAACTGAAATTATATATCAAAATCTATTACTGATTTTGTTGCATTTGGATCTCTCTATAATTACTGTGGAGCCAGTCTATCTTCATACCAATTCGCTAAATCATTTTTAACAGATACCCATTAAAGCAGTTTTGCTATATTCAACTTCATTTGGCCTTCTCATTTATATTATTAATTTATTTATTTATTCAAATTATTTTATAACTTCTTCTGCTCACTTTATAAACTTCTCCTCAATTTTAGGTTTAAAACTTAGAATCGATATTTTTAAAAGGAATCTTTAAAAAAAAAACTAATTTCTCTATATATCTAAATTTCACACCTATACATTAAACTTAAAAAAGTGTATATCAATAATTTATTTAGAGAATTTCTTTCTTGGAAGTTAAGATAATAAATCCATATATTATTCCAACATTTTATAACAACAAATATACAATTTAAAATTAAATAAATTTGGAAAAACCAATAAAAAGTGAAAACTCTTCCTTTTGCTTTAGAGTAACTTATAATTTGTATGTTAAATGTAGATCAAGTTAGATTTTCTAGTTAAAACACTATCTTAATGTTAAATAGACTGTTGAAAATCTATGTTAAGCAATGCTTTTTAATTTAATTAAATCAATTTTTAGATATTTAGAATGTTGTGAATCTAGTGATGAATCTTAACACATAAAAAAGAAATTGAATAAAAAAATCATGTATCAATAGAAACTATTTTCTTAAAAAAGAATTAATACTACCAAAATTAAAATCTTTGAAAAAATTGTGTGATTTGTCATAATTTAATTTTATTAGATTATTTTAAGTTAATTTAATCTTATTAGAATAAGAAAGTGTCAAGTACTCTTAATTAAAAAGAAGAATTTGGATATTTTCTACTAGGACTCCAGAATTTCATATTATTGATTTATATAATTAATATAGTATTTTTAAAATGAGTTAAATTGAGATGCAATAGTTTGATTAAGATAGAGTCCCTGATGATGAGAGGGAAGATGATTTTAAAAATTTGATTGCTATATTGGCAGGAAAGATTTAATTAAAAACAGTGGAACCAGGGATTTTGGGAAGATTGGATCATTTGGAAAATTATTATGATCTTTTACCATTCAATATCAGAGGATTTAGATTGATTAATAGAGCTAGTTTATTAGATGGAGATTTTGCAAAGAGATATATAATCAAATAAATAATTGATTTGAATTTAGATCTTGAAAGTTTTTTTTAATAAATTACATAGATGATTTTAGAAAGCATTATTTGATAGAAACAGCTGTAAAAATGGCAGAAGGAGCACCAACTTGGTCATTTTTTGTTAGCTTAATTTTGCTAACATTATTTTTATTATAGGTTTGTTTGGATTCTATGTTATATAACCTATTAATATTGAAACATGATACTGTGTAGAATGAATATGACAATACAACAGGACCAACAGCTAATGATGAGTATGAAACATCTAATTTACTTAAGATAAACTTTACATAATTTGAAAGAAGAACTAATTGCCATATGGTTTTTATATATATTGCTTCCATTTAGATTAGGATTATGGACTATAGATTTAATCATACGTTACATAGGTCTAAGATATTTTAGAAAGGAATACACAACATTTGCTATGTTTTTTGATTTTCTTTTAGGATTAGTGACGATAATCATTGTTGGTTTTTCAACTAGATTAGATTATAGTTTGAGATCTGATACTGCTCAAACTCAAGTAGAATTAGTATTTTGATAAATTATTTGCAAGATCATTAGAAATCTTATTATCTTTTTGACTTTTTTAGCAGGAATGATTTAGTCAAAGAAGGCTATGGATTTAACAAAGAGATTATGTTTACTATTTAATTAGAGGAAGGTTTCTTGTTGTAATTTTATTAGTTTTTGAATTATATAAAATATTTAATAAATAAAATAAATATGACTGACAATATTGAGAAGAATGAATCTATTCAAAGTTATATGAATTATTCAGAATAAAGAATGATGAATGAGGATTCCTTTTTAAAATAGAAAAATACATAAGAAGAAGATCCTCATGCATTCGAATAATCTGAGACACAGTAAGTTATCATATATGATTAAGTTCATAAAACAAATAGATTGATCCAATGTTACAATAAAATGAAGAGGAATAAGAATAAGAGATTTAACCTATCGAATTGAATCCTCTTTAAATTTTTGAATCTAAGAAAATGGAGATCATATAAAATTGTTAAAAAAATAAAACTTTATTCACTGATCCTGATTTTCCAATCAATAATACCAGTCTATATAAAGATCCTTAGAAACCTCCAGAATTTGCAAAGGATATCAAATCTGTTAAATGGGTGAGACCGCATGAAATTTCTAAAGATGCTAAATTTGTTATTGATTTTGAGGGAGATTATAAACAAGGAGCTTTTGGAGAATCTTGGTTTGTAGGAGCAGTTGTTATAGTAGGATAAATGAAAAAATACAATGAAAAATAAAATAAACAAACCTAATAGTAAACTTAATAATAAATATCTTAACTTGAAAAATTAATTTTAGATTATGATTAATTTGATGAATGTGGATTTGTGGCATTTTAATTCTTTAAAAATGGAGAATGGAAATAAGTAATAGTAGATACACTTTTACCTTTTGATTAAGATAGTAAATAGATATTGTTTACATAATGTGCAAATCCCTCTGAATTTTGGTTACCTTTGATGGAAAAGGCTTATTGTAAATTACATGGAAATTATGAAACAATTTGTGATGGACATATTGGTGAAGGTTTAGTAGATTTAACAGGTGGAATTGCTGAAATAAATTCATTAAGAGATCCATAATTAAATAAAATGATAGAAAATGATTAATTATGGTAAGTGTTATTGTAAACACATAAATTATAATTCTTTATGGGATGTATGAATCATAATGAAACTAAAGGAACAAAAAATGCTGATACAGGTACTCATGGAATATTGGAAAATCATCATTATGGAATAGTAGATGTTAGAGAGTTTCCGAAAGAAAAATTAAGATTGATGAGAATAAGAAACGTTTGGGGACCAGAAGGTGGATGGAATGGAGCATTTTCTGATGATTCTGAAGAATGGGACAAACATAGAAATTTAAGAGAAGAATTAAAATTAGTATTTAAATCAAAGAAAAGTGATGGAACATGGTGGATGTCTTATTAAGATTGGCATTAACATTTTAACAAATTTTATATTTGTAAAGTATTTCCTGAGAGTTGGTAGTAATATGCAATTCAAGGAAATTGGTTTGGAAAAACATTAGGAGGAGTATGTCCATTGAAAATGCCATCAGAAGGTTTACCAGAATATGTTTAGGTAGACACAGATGAAAAATGGTTTAATAATCCATAATATAAAATAAAAGTTCATAAAGAAACTAAATTATATTTATCTTTGATGTTAGAAGATGAAAAAATTACATAATAACCATATGTAGCATGTAATTTGATGGTTATAGCAAATAAAGGAAGATTAAGTAGAATTTGGGAGAGACCACCAAATTAAGATATTGTAATTGATATGAATCCCAAAGGAGATATGGCAGCTTAAAGAGAAATAACATAATATTTAATTTTAAAGAATTTTGAAGGTAAAAGTTTTGGAAATTATATGGTAATTCCTAATATGATTGTAAATGAAACAAGAAAGGAGGATAAAAGAAATTTTATTTTAAGAATATTTAGTTCTGATAGAATTGATGTTGCTGAAATGTCAGAAACATTAGAAATTTAATAAGAAGGTAGTTGGAATGAAACATCTGCTGGTGGTAAAAGAAAATATGATAATGGAAAAGAAAATCCTAATTGGTGTAAAAATCCATAATATTTTTTAAATTTATCTGTTAGTACTCATCTTAAGATTATTTTGAGAAGATAAGGATAAGTTAAAAGAGCTAAAGGTACAAAGATTGGAATGACAATTTGTAGATTTGATAAAGCACCTACAAATTCATTAAACATTATTAAATAATAAAAAGGAGGAGGAACAAGTAAATTATTAATTTTATTAAATTTTTATAGATTTAGTGAGACTTTTAAAACAAACTCAATAATAATTAGAAGCTCCAAAAATGATTGGAATATAAAGAAAATTATTAATAGGATCAAATGAAAAATTTAAATAATCTACCTATTTTCATGAAGATGTTGCAGCCTTATATTTTCATTTTAATCCAACTGAAGGTCCTTTCATAATTATTCCATCTTTAGATTAAGAAGATAGATTTGCAAATTATAAATTAACTAGTAATATTATTATATTAATAAATTAGTCTATTCTAATCAAGAAGTTGAATTAACTAAACTAGATGAAACTAAAAATTAAGTTCATATTGGTAAATGGGAATAAGACATTTCAGATGGTGGTTGTCATTTATATGAAGATCCATATGAAAAAGATACTAGTAAAAGAACATGGACTATGAATCCTAAATATTCATTATAGTTTTTTGAACCTATTCATATTACCATCACTCTTTGTATTGCAGAAAAGAATTGGAAATCAAAAACTAAAAATACAGTAGGAGGTATGATTGGAGTCTATTTAATTGAAAAATCTGAAAATAAAATAACTACTTAATAAATTGTAAGAATTCCTAATTTCCTACCAATCAATGAAATTCAAGAAGAATTTGATCTCTAACCTACTAAAAATGGATATTATATTATGCCAACAACATATCAATCAAAAATACATGGATAATTTATTTTAGCAGTTTAAGGAGACAAAGAATTTACATTACAAGCATTAAAATGAAATATATCAAATAAATTTTATCATAGATTAATTCTTTAATTTACTTATATATTTTATACAAAAATAATAACATTATTGTAAATCATTTAATTTCATTATTTTTCATTTGTGTCTATTTTAAATAATGTTAATAACCTTATTAAAAATTGAAAGTGATGAGAGACAATCAAAAAAATTTTATAAAATCATGAAACTCTATATTATTCAACATATATCCATAAATATAATAAATAGTTATAAGACTTTGTCAATAATGATAATGCTATTGAAATTGTTCCTACCTTGATGGTATAAATTTGTTAAAGAGGAAGATAATTCAGTAGATTATCTCTTTTAATTCTTTTTTACTTAAGACATGAAAAAACAATAATATATATGGTAAGTCTGGAATTAATCGGAGGCAAATATATCTTATAAATATATGGTGATTGATTGAAAATTATTCCAAAAACTATACCATAAGTTATTAAATTATATATATTAGTTATTATTAATAAATAATGAGTAATGAAGCAGTAGCAGGATTTATTGTTACAAAAACTATCTAATAAAATCCTTTAAGGTATTATGATGCTAATTTCAATGATTATCGTGATAAAAATATGATCATGTATATTTAGAAAAAATATGCAGATCTAAAAAGTAAAGTTTTAATTTCCTGTAGAACGAACTGGAGTTAAAATCTTACCAAAATAAACCTTTGCTAGTTCGTAATTACAAGTGAAAATGAAAGCTTAAGAAAGTAATAAAGAATATTAAGCAAATTATGATTTATAACCTGAAGTTTTAGAAATCATGTAAAGAGTTCTTGATAAAGAATAATTAGAGAACTTACTAAATTTTTAGGTGATCCCAAAAAGATCAAAGAATTGGAAGAAAAAACCTGTATCTGTTTAACAGAAATTAGCAATGATGATGAATGATAATATAGAATAAGCTGAACTAGATGATTTGTATAAATGTTACAAACGGTAAAATCTGAAGCAAAATGTATATAAAAAATATAGTATAGCTTAAAGAAATAAAGACATCTTAAAAAATCTAAAAAGATGCCAGTAAGAGTAAAGGAAAATATTAAGGATATTAAAATATTGAATTAGAAGATTAGGAATAAGTTAATTTTTTTATGAAAAAGCTTTGTGAAGATTAAAATATAAATGCTTGTACAGTATTAGATATTTAAAATAGTAAATATGAAATATAATTTTAGATGAATTAACGTTTAAGGAAGATTAATGGGATGAAATGGAAAGATGGAAAAACATTGTTTAAAAAAGAATTACATAAGAATAATTATTAGAGATTATGCATGAAGAAGAATTAAAATAAAATAAAGAATTAGTCAAGATATTTAAAGAAACAAGAATAGATTAATTTGATCCTGATTTTTTTAAAAGTAAGGTTAAAATGACAACTATGAAAAGAGTCAATTAAGCACAGGATTCCTAATATCATAAATTTTTTGTATCAACAGAAAATTAAGTTACTGGTTTTTCTTAAGAAGATTTTAGAAGAAAAAACTAACCGTATTAAACACCAAAAAGAAATTTAATGGAGAATTTGAGTAAAGTTTCAAAGTCAACAAGACCTTAGACAAGTGTGAGTAGAACACTCAAAACTTAAACAAGTATTAAAACAGAAATAGAGTTTAATAATTTCTTAAAGAAATGTGATGTTGTTGATAATAATTTTAAAAAGGAGAAACACATGTTAAAAGAGAAATTTTGTTCTCTTGATAATATAATGGAGAAAGCTAGTTAGTATTTATCAATTGATAAACCCTAATTTGAAAAAGAACCTAATTAAGAATTTGAGAAATTTTAAAAGTAAAGATTATTCAAGAAAAAGTTCGTTAATTATTTGATTGATAAAGTTGAAAAATAATAAGATTTATTGAGTGAGAAAATAAAACAAACTTAATCTAAGTAGTTTATAGATAGAATGTTATAAGAAGAATAATGATGTAGGGTAAATATAAACAATTTTTTATTAATATTCAAATTAATCAGAAATTAAGCTTGATATGTTTCTATAAAAGATTAATGTCTTCTTTAAGCAACTTTTTAAGACAGAATTTTAAATAGTCTGGATCATTCTTTATTAAATTTTAGAAAAATTCCTTAAGGGCATCCTTGAATAAAATATTTAAAAACTACCACTAAATTGATATTTAAGCAAGGATCTTTAAGATAAGTTAAATCTTCTTCAGTAGTTTCATCACATTCTTCTCCTACTTCTTAATTAAAATCTAGGAATTCACTCATATATAAAGTTGAGCCTGTTTCTAGATCTGCTAATCCTTTATCTTTCTTTTCTTTTGGATCCAATAACTTAAATTTTAAATAAATAAGTACAGCAAATCTTTCTGCAATATCCTATTCATCATCATCTTTAATTTTTTCAATTTCAACATCAACTTAATCTTGAAATTGATCTTTTTTGATAACTTCATCGTCATCATCTTCAACTTCTAATCTTTCATCTTCTTATTTTAGATCATTATTATTTTAAGTATGTGGAGTAATTTCATTATCTAAACATCTAATTAATAAGGATAATATTTTAAAAGGAGCATATACATCTAAATTTAATATAATAATATTACCACTATTAATATTTTAATGACTAGGATTATAACCTATAACTAATAAATTTTCTAAAGTCTTATCTTTAAGTAAGAATAATTTCATTAGAGCAGTGAAGGTTGCATTTTTAGTACCTTTTCCTCTAAATAAAGGTTATTATAATAACCATTTATCAATAAGGACTTTTAATGCCATTCTGTTATCTATACTCCAAGAAGTAAGGAAATTAATTGATTCTTTTGGTTTCTCAATAATCATTCTAGCATAAACTAAAACTAAAGATTAAACAGTTGATGGCATTCTAGATCTATATATTTTAAAGACAACAGATTTTAATAAATTAATATCTGGATTGCCATCTAATAAATTGTTTATTGTAATCATCACTAAATTTCCAGCAAATAATGAGGCTGATTCATTAGCAGAGTTTTAAGGTACTTCTAATAATTTTAAATTCACCTTCATTACATCTTATACAAGATTCCTTTTGTAGATAATTAAAATATATACATTTTTAGAATTTATCCTGTTTCAATGATAATAAAGTTTTTTAAACATTAACTGGTATGAACTTATAATTAAGGATCTTCATTAATCAGTATTAGATTAACCATAGAAGGTAATAAATTAATAAATGCTTCTTAAGCCTTATTATCAGAACAATATTTAATAAAAATTGAAGTTAGATGCATAATTGCACTCATTAAACCAATATCTGTTTATTTCATTTTACTTTTATCTTAGATTTTATTCATGTCTTCATAAAATACTTAAAAACAATCCATTATAAATGGACAGAAAACCTTTATATAAATGTTTTTAATTACATCAAAAATATGTGGATAAGCATCTTTACATTAACAAATTCTCATAATCAATTCATTAAATTGTTTAATCACAACTGATTCAGAATGGAAAATACTAAAAAATTACAATAGAATCTTAGATCCATTCTTTGCCAAAGTAGTGGCTAGAATAGTTGAAAATCTAACTAAATTAATTGTTGATTCTAAAACATAGATAATTTAATCTTGACTAGCTTCTTGTAAGACTTACAATATTAAATCCATTATCTCTGCTTTATATTGAAAAGGTATACTATATTTATTTATTTTTGTAGCATAACTAATATTATTAATTTAAATATTTACTTTCCTAAAGCTTTTACTGATACTATTTTTAATGTGATTGGATATTTAGATTTTAAATAATTCAGTACTGATTCAAAAAAGGGAACTAATAGTTCTTTAAATTAATGACTTATCAATTCAGAGTATTTTGTTGTGCTCCAAATAGCTCGAGCCTATAAACTACTCGAATCTAGATAGAAATTAATAAAGTTTGATACTTTATCTTTCCAATTCAATAAGTATGTTCTACATACATTTTTTAATATCGAAGGTGCTTTCATGTTTTTGTTGAAAAACAATAATATCTTCTGAGAAACTACCTAATAAGAGATAGCCAGTTTCTTTTCTTTTTTATATAAATGATTTTAGATAGAATTAATTACTTACATAAATAGCAGAAGTTTTCATAAATTACATAACACTATCTTAATCAAATTCTTTTGATTATTATCCTTTTAATTCTTAAAAGTTTAATTTCGATATAATTTATTGAGCTAACTCAATGAATTCTTTTTCATCTCGATTTAATATCAGTTTTTCACCTACCATTAAAATTTACTGGACAAAACTATCTCCATATTTCTCTATAATATCATTAATCAATCTCAAGGCAAGTGTTCTTACACTCTTCTAAAGTAATTCCTCTTCATCATTAAGAATGAAATAGCTAGGATCTTTAACCCATTATCTTTCTTAATCTTTTGTGGCTATTAAGAATGTTGCCAATGTATTCAAAAGTGGAAAAGTACCAAACTTTATTAAATTGTATAAAGCAGGTTTTGTAACTAAAATAGTAATTAATTCTATTGAATAAGCACAAAGACCCTCAATATGATTATCATAATCATCATCTTCATTTAAATATTTATATTCAATATCTAAATTCTAAATCTAAATATATACCATTTTATAAATTTATAATTCTCTAATTAGTTTATGGTAATCCCTTAGTTTCTTCTGAAAACAAATTATCAATATGTTCTACATCAATTTAGTAAACTATATGGCCTACATATAACTAAGTTATAGAATTAAAAAATTTCCACACTGGAATTAATGATAATGACAATGATTTTCGACTATATACTCCAAAATCTCTAAATACTACAATCAATATTTTCAAAACCAATTTCTTAATGAATATATGTGATTTTGGAGATGTTTGCAAGGCTGATAAAAATAAAGACTAAAATAATGAATTATATATCATACCATCCAAATCTAAAAAGTTGAATCTAGACATTTATTCACAAAAGAATTATCAGTTCCATCTGCAAATGAAATTGATCTGAATACTAAATAAACTAATAAAAGTATTTTCTCTCTTAATTTCTCATTTAATTCAGGTTAAGCAAATATACTGAAACCTTTCTCAAGAACTGATGGAACAATTTCTTTACATAAGGTTTGTTATTCACCATTAGTTTCACTCAATCTTCCAAATAATTGTAAAAATAGTTCTAGACTTGATTCTATTGCATTAAAGTCATCCATCCAATTTAACAATTCAATCAAAGGGTTTGGCCAAATATGACTTGGATCAATAGATATTATTTATACTATTATGGAAGACTAAAATATTTTTAATTTAATTACAATTAACTCAATTATTGGCATATTTGAAACATTCATAACTAATCCATTCAATAAGAGTTCACGTATCACTTTTCTTGATGGCTATATTGATTCCCATTATTCTATCAGAACCCCCTTTAAAAGTATACCAATCTTCATTCTTATTTCAACTGGATATTCAGGAGACACCATCATTTTAGTACTCTCGACCATAAAATTGGGGTAAGGTGTATGTAAGATTTCATATGCATTTTATAAATTTTCTAATGCTTATACATACACTTAAAGAGTTATTTCTGGCGTAGCTTCAGTCATTTTAAATTTTATATAATATATATTATTTATTTCATTATCTGATCATCACTAAAATAGGCTTTTCTACTCATTTACTTTCAAGGCGTCTTACATTAAAAACATTATTAATGATCCTTTCTTTATTTTGCAATTAATAATTATCACATTCTATTTCTTTAAATTTCAGAATTTTAATAATATTCTCAAAATAATATCATATTAATGTAAGATAATAACACATTTGGGATAATTTAAAATGTCTCATCATATTCTGTGTGTTTTGCACTTAAATGTCAAATTGCCTATTTCATATATATGTTTGCAGCCACAAAACTTTTACCAGGAACAAACTTTAAAGGTTTTCCTGACCCAAAAGGAAAAGTTTTAATGTATAAGATAAATGGTTTGAATACATACATTTTGACACTCATACTTATCATAGTAGGTAAGATTTATTTTAATTTTACATTAATTCCATTGATTAAATATTTTTGGTCATTCTTTATCGCCTCAAATATTTTGGCTTTTGTGTTCTCTTTTATTTTATTAATAAAAGGAAAAATTAGTACAAATTATAAACCACACATTTAAACTTGGACACCTCAATTATTTAATGATTGGTGGTTTGGATCAGAATAGAATCCTAGAATCTTAAATGTTGATATAAAAATGTATTTTTATGAACCATCATTAATTGGATTACAAATATTCTTATTATCATTTGCTGAATATTAATACAATACCTATTCTATATTATCTACAAACATGATTTTGTTTTAAGTTTTTTGGTTTATGTGGCTTATTACACATTATATTAGAGAAGATTTCATGTTATCAACATGGGATATTATAGCTGAAAATTTTGGATTTATGTTAGTTTGGGGAGATATTGTTTATTTACCTTATCTATATTGTATTGGTGGATGGTACTTAGGTGATTTTGTATAAAATAGTTCTAATTTATATCTTTTATTCATCACTATATTGCATTTAAGTTCATTGTATATGTATAGAGATTCAAATTGGTAAAAAGATAGATATAGAAGACAAGGGGATAAAGCAATAATTTGGAATAAAAAACCTTAAACTTTATAGAATAAATTATTAATTAGTGGATGGTGGGGTATTGGGAGACATCTAAATTATACAGGAGAAATTCTAGTTTATCTTTCTATTGCCATGTGTGGAGAATTCAAAGCTTTTAACAATTATATTTTGCCTTTAAGTTTGTTTTGTCTTTTAACACATAGAGCAACAAGAGATGATAAACGCTGCAGAGAAAAATATGGTAAATTATGGTAAGAATATTGTTAAATAGCCAAATTCAAGATTATTCCATTCATATTATGAAATTATCATTATTAATCATTATTAAATATTTCATATTTATTATCAATTTTATAAAATAAATTTTTTATTTATCCTATTGTAGTATCATTTTTGTTTTTTTTCAAACAATTTTTATAAACTTGATTTTTTAAATTCAATACTGATGGTTTCTACCATATTTCTGATAACTATTTTGTCATCTAGCAATTAGTAATTAGTTTCAACGCTCTTATAATTAATTAAGGTTCTGAAACTTACTCCTTACTAGAAATTTTAAGGATATTTTCACCTTCTTAAATCTTTATTTTTTTAATCAGCAACTTACTCTCTATTTAATCAGTTATTTCTACTTTATGGAATTACATTTATAATGTTATATATTCTTATAATTTTTGATTTTTATTAATTTAAAGACTAAATTTTTATGTTTTATTTTTTATTCCTAAATATTATATAAATTCAGGTAAAGGTACTTCATTATCAATTAAAGTAATTAATCCACATAATATAAATACTTTCAAGCCATCTTTATCTAATTTTTCAAATTATTAATTTTATTAACTTTAAATAGTTTATAATTAGGTTTTTGGAACATTATTTATTTATTTTGTAATTAAGCAAGGCATAATCTTTTTAATTTAACTGATATATGATTATAAATTATCTATTATATTTATAATATTTTCTAATATAGGTTTATCATTAATTTGAGTTTTTTTTGTTCTCAATTTAGGAAGCAAAATTAATTTCTCTTTCAATTAATCTTTTAATTTCTCAATTTTTTAATAATCACTCATAACTTATATTAATTGATCTTAGATATTTTCTTTCTTATCATTTACAATAATAAGTATTTTTTCAATGAGAACCACATCTCTTCCATATTTAATTTCAATATTAAATTATTAGAGAAAATTTTCAAAATCTTGTAATTCTTAAGTAGCTGTATCAGGCAACTCCAAAAGAGTTTATAATTTTACTTATTATTATTTAAGCTTCAATCTTTGATCATTTTATATAAATGGAATCAATCTCTATTTAGAAGGTAATATTTAAACAGAATTTTAATTAATTAATTAGCCTTCTACTATTTTTTCTTTATGTTTTTTAAACCATAAACAAGTCATAATCTCAGGAATTGGTATTTATTGTTCAATTGATTCTATCAATATTAATTTAACAACTAATTTAAGTAACCTGTAATATCTTTTTTAAGATTTTATTGGTTTATTTTCATCATCGTTTTCACTTTAATTATCTAATTAAACTTAATTATTTTTCTCAACTTGATTTATGAATTCTTTTTGTATATCCTTTTGAGATTCATCATAAATAAGTAAAATTTGTTCTAACTTTTCTATGAATTATTTTACTGTCCTGAAATGAGCATCTGTTTCTTAAACCCTTGACAGTTTTTTAATCTAATTAATTAATTAAGAATATTTGAATTATTAAATGATTTTTGCTTTTAGAGTTTCTTTTTATTGAACAACCAAATCTATCATCCTTATCAATAAATAATATTCTGTAATTTTAATCTTTACTTTTCCAACTTGGTATTCTTAATAAGTTTTAGCTTCTTCGGTGTTCTCTTCTTTAATAGTTTTAGTTTCTAATTAAAATTGATGAGCTTAACAAAATGAGTTATAATAAAATGCACATATATTCAAAATCTATTAATTAGGATTAAAAGTTAAATTCATTCCATTTCCTCTATTTTTCAATTCAGCACAAAGTATGATTTCAGGTATAGCAATCTGTTATTAAATTAACCAATTTAATATTGTTTTAATTTTCTCTTTATTTAAAGAGCTAATAACTAATGGTTAAATCTATGTTATCAATTAAATGCATTCCTATTGATTTTTTTATCCTGAAAACTGTTATGCATTTTCTGAGCATTCTAATTTAATAGATTTATTAATTTGACATTAAGAATTCAAATAGTTAAATTACAATTATTAAAGAGATTCAAATAATTTATATTTAATTTTATTCTCAGGTAATTCAGGATTTTTCAATTCTAATTTTAATGGAAATTAAAACTATATATCTTAAAATATTTATTAAAGTTCTTAATTAACTTAAGATCTTTTTGTTTATTCTTAAAGTAGTTCAATTTATCTTAAAAATATTTCTTAAACTTAATTTAAATGAGATTTAAATATTTCTTCTATTAAATGTTAATTATAGTCTTAAAAATACTCAGGATCATTTTAATTATGATTAATTAAATCCTCAATTTAGAGTTAATCAGCTATCTCTTTTAAAGCTGGATTTACTGCTAATTATTCAACTAAAATATAGTTGGGTTGAAAGAGAAATGATAATGGTTCATCTTTATTGAATTTTAAGGTTATATAATGAAGAGTATTAGGGCAAGTTATAAGATTTAGGTTGGTATATTTTAGTAGAATACACCCCACTTCTCTATATACTATATCAAATATAGTTGGTACATCATCTTCTTAAAATACTTCATCATTATCAAGAAATATTTCATCTTAATATCTGTCCACTTACCAATTTTATTAATACATTATATAATTTATTGTCAGTTGCTAAAAATTTGCATCCAAATTTACTAATAAATAACAGGATATTCTAAATCATTTTAATATCTTTCTTTTATGTATGGTTTTTCTAATCTATATATATAATTGATATGATTTCATATTTGATTCATAATCATTTAAATAAATTAGATTAAGAAAAATATATTATAGTTTATTTATAATTCATTTTCCACTTCTACTTGTCCATTATGTTGATTTTAAGTTTCTCACTTGAAATATTTCTTTTGGGGGAGTAAAATTAAATTGACTTTCTTGACTGTTAAAATATCTATTTGATCTTAGTTACATCCCAAAAGAGTTTTGTCTATCTAAACATTAAAATGAAAATCTTTCATTTTATGAAAAATAATCTTACTAAATTTGTTGATGTCCTTAAGATTATTATAATTAATTAAATTATCTTGAAAATTATCGAGAACACTATGGCTAATCCAAATATTACTATTCATTTTATGAGAATTATTAATTTTGAAATTATTATTATTGAGATTGTTATTATTATTAGGCTTCTATTTTTTATTAAGATTCTTGCTCTTACCTATACAAAGTTTCTATCGTCTTAGTCATTAATTTTTTTTATCTTTTTACTTTTTTTGAAATAGGCTATTCTTCATCTTTTTGATATGCAGGTGCCATTTCAAGAATTTATTCAACAATAAAATTGTAATTTATTTCTTACTTAACTAATGGTTCTTGAATCATCGTTAACTCTAAGTATTTTTGATTCACTGTATATAAACTCAACGATTAGGAAACATTAATAAAAGCTGGTTCTATTCTATTAAATAATTCACAAAATTTATCTTCCTTTATAAACTCTCTTATCTTATCTAACTTTTAAATATTTCTCAATAATTTAATTGTGTAGAATGCTGATAATATTAAAAAAAGCAATTCTCTTTTATAGATTGCAAAATCAGGAATGAATTCTGCTTATATTTTAAGAAAATCTTTGAAAAAATGAAAAGAATAAGATCTAAATTATATTGAAGTCTTTACTTAATCTCTTATAAATTACTATGCTGCAACTTTCTACCATATTCTAATTATAGATTCAATAAATGCCAATAAACTAATTCTAATTCGTTGAACTCCATCATTTTGCATATTCCAAAGTGCATTTTGTAACGATAACTTTATTCATTCTTTGTGATCATTCTAAGAAGATGATTTGAAATAAAAGAAAATTCTAACATGATGGAATGCAGTTTTACATACATTTATAAAGCGCATTATTTGCTAGCTCATCATATTACAGTTCTTTCAACTTTATACCTAACTCTTACTTTATAGAATTATAGATACCAATAGTATTTGCTTCCTAAATTTCTTCAACCTTTTAAGCTTTTTTTTAATACTCCATTTAATTCAGAAATTAAAACTTGTTAATCGGGATATAAATAAACACAATATTCTTTTATACATTTAAGTATTATTTATTTCTCTAAAATTTAAGTTCATTTTTATAATCTTAATCTAGTGTTTAAAAATTCAATCAATTTATTTTATTAATTATATAAAAAGATTTCTCTATATACAAAATTCTTCAACTTTATAAATATAGTTTCCACTTATAATAATTAAAATATAATTTTAAACAAAAATTATTTGTTATAGCTTATACTCAAAATCATTTAAAATCATCCATCAATCTTTTCAATTAACCTCTCATTCTATTTTCTTTCTATATAATAAATTCTAATTTTAATTAATGTAAAAATTCATATTAGAATCAATTAATTATTGTTTTTAATAATTATTAGCATTATAGATGAATCTAGATTACACAAAAATATAAGACAATGTTAATAAATATAGGTATGGAGTGAAGATTGGAAATTATAATGAAGAAACTTTTGGAATGGATATGAAACAAGTACTTTAACGATTATATTTAAAATAAGAATGAACATCATATACCCAATAGTACAATGAAAGATACTTTTGGTCTTAAAAATACATTACTTAATATGCCAAGGCAGTAAGATACATTAGCAGATAAGGAATATTATGAATAAACAACTTTCAGCCATCGAGGGTTACAGAATCATTTATTAATTGGCCATGGTTAGTAACCTTATGTATACAAATATATTAAAAAAATAGTTTGAAACAAGGTAATTAACTTCTACTTATGATCTATCACATAATCAATAAGTTAAACCATAAGTGTAAATTTATTCAAAATATGAACCTAATAAAACTCAATTTTAATCACAATAAAATAAAGTTGAAGTGACTGATAAAGTACAACATGTAGTTCCAGATTTGTAGTAAGCTAATCAAGAGAGATTAGTAAAAAAGAAAGAGTTTACAAATACATTTAATGATAATTATAAAAAAATTCCTTTGAGAAAATGAATTATATAAAAGGAAATTTATCATTTAAATATAAATTTTATATGATGGTTTTCTTTATAATCCAAAATTAATGCAAATGCACTTTTTTTGACTTGTTTAATTATGCTGCTTTTATATATTAAATTTATTAAAATAGGGAATTAAGTTTTTATTCAATATATTTAGTTATCATAAGTAATGAATATATATTTTTTATTCATTGTAAAAAAAATGATAATAAAAATATTAGAATGCAAACAGAGTAAATTTATAATATTGTACTTATGCTAAAATATTATTTTCATTCCTCTTTCTTTGCTCTCTTGGCGTTCTTTCTCTTTCTTCTTCCTTCTCTACCTTAACCAAATGGTGATGTGACAGCAAAATCGACTAATTTTTCTGATTCAACTCTGACTAAAAAGGATGGAGAATTGACTAATCTTTTTCCAACCCTTAGAGTAAATAATAGATATAAAATTAATACCTAAAGTGTCGCTATCTAATTAAAGTTCTGGCATGATGAATTGATGATGCTTGATTGCTTTTGAATACAAAGGTTTAAAGTCTTCTTTCCATCATTTTTTAAGTTGTTAAACCAAGAACATAATCCAACTTTCTCTCTTATTCAGATAACAAACCATATCTGACCATTCTTCTAATTAATGCTTCTCCTTCAAATAATCTTCTTGGATCCTTTGGGTCAAGAGTCAATAATTCTCTTGCAGCCTTTCTAATTCTAGCTAAAGTAAGTTAGACTCTCCATACTTCTCTTTTGTTCTTTAATCCATACTTACCAATAATTTGTAATCTAAAAATTAATCATTACTAAAATTACTCATTGTCAAGACGTTCCTTTTCGAAGGGCTTTCTTGGTGTGTCAGAAGTCTTTGATCTATTTCTATAATTCTTGCCCATAATAAAAAGATTTAAATATATTTAAATTTATTCACAAATAAATAAATCCCTCTGTTCATATTTGTTTATTACTTGATTACCCATATATTTGATTTTGTTAAAATATTTTTAGAAAATGCTTTGATATTAATAAATGTATATAATTATTACATTAGGAATTAGTCTATCATTATGCTTTATTATTCAACTAACTAAACTCAACCCTGGCAAAAAGTTATTTCTTTTAGATATATTTTTGATAGTGTTAGTGGGAATGATTGTTTATGATGAATCTATTTACAAATTTGATGATTTTGCAGAGTAATTATAGATTGCATTCTAAAAATAATATCCTGTTGAATACAAATTGGATGAATTGATAACAAAAAACAACTTATAAGATCATTCTTTTCATTTATATTACGGGATGCATTCAGAAGGAATTTCAACTTTCTTTCAATTCATGATTAATAAATCATTAAAAGAAAAGAAATAAGCAATTTATATTGACATTCAATCGGAAGTTTAAACACAAGAGCAAGCCTTATAACTATTTAAAGCTCCTAATATGAATGAATTGATTCTTTTTACAAAATTGAAACCAACGTTAATAGCAGTTGATAATCTAGATTTATCATTAACTAAAAAATATTGCTATATTTGTTAAATATTAAGCAATTTGCATCAATCTAATTAAACTACAATTATTGCAAGCACAAAAAATCTAAAAAAAATTAATTTAATATTAGATGATTATAATATTAATGTAATGGAGATAAAGTAATTTTAAAATGGAAAATAAAACAATTTTAGGTTTGATTGGTATGAAATATCAGAACAAAAGAATAAAAGATATGAAGGTAAAATAAATACAACTTATTTTAGATTTTGTAGCATAAAAATAAAAAGAGTTTATTTCAGAACTTAGTGAAGATGAATTGGGTTTGATGAAAGTAATTCGAAATTTGATGTGCTAAATTAGATGTGAAAATTAAGAAATCAGAATGGATGATATGTATCTATGAGTTTAAATTTTAGAACTTATTAATTTAGAGATTTAAAGAATTTGATTGATAAAAATATTGTAATAGCGATTTTTGGATAATTGAAATTTTATAATAGCTTTATATTTGATTCATTATAAAATTTATGACATACCATCAATATATAACAAGAAAAACAAAAATCATAAATTCTATAATAATGGTTGTCCATAAGCAACAATCATTAGTGTATGACAATAAACTTTTAAGATTTGAATCAGTAACTTTGATTTCATGAGTAGCTTATTCCACCTAAAATAAGAGATACTTTTACATTTTCATTCAATCTTCTTAAAACAACTTTATCCTCATCTAATGCTAAATTAATATTCTTAGCATTAACTTACATTCTTCCTGTAGTATCAATCATTTTATCGATGGTATCATTTTGTTTTTGTACAAGTTATTTTTGCACCTAAACCATTTCAACGTTAGATTTAGAAGTATAATCTATTTTAGTTTCTGGAATATCCTAAAATTAATATTTAAAAATTTTGAATTAGTACTGCTTTAAAAACTGATTTGATTTCTAATGCTTTTCTAAATTTTTCAGATTTATTTTAAAATTCATCCAATAAATTTTTTGATTTTTAGATATCGTGTGGAGATCTATTTGATTTACATAGCATACAGATTAGTTGATTAATTTAATAAAATTCTTGCTGATTTAATAGAATCATTTATGAGGTCTAGTTATGCTTACAGTTGCCTATCAAACTAAGAAAATGTAATTTGAAATTACCAAATGAACTGATTCATTATTTTATAATTTTTAGTTTCTTTAATTAAGAGCCTCAGAAAGAGTGGAATCCATTCTTCTAATCTATTCGATTAAATCTTAGAGTTTTGATCCTCCATCTAATTTAATATAATTATTCATAAAAATAATATTTTATTATCAATAGTAATGAAATAAATCACAATAATTTAGCTTTTATGATAATCCTCTGTTCTGTTTACTAATTTTAAAGTGGTATTTTATTATTTAACCTTTTAATATTTATGATCAAGTATACAAAGTTTAAATTTAGAGATAACATAAAATATCTAGTAAAATGCAGAGAACTAGGATAATTTAATAAAATTAAATACTATTATTATTAGTCCTTATTTATATGATGATGTTAATTGAATTTAACTTTCATCATCTTCATTAATCAAAAGTAAAATCCATAAAATTGTTGAATTTTCATTAATTTAATCATCAAAGTATATTACTTAAATATTGAAACAACCTAATTTTAAAAATTTATGAATCAGATTAATTTTTTTGCAATTAATTATGATAATGGATAACGATTTTGTTGTATTTCCTCTTTATCAAAATCTGCATCATTTTATATTATAGGTTTTATTTAAAAATCAAGATTGAATAAGACAAGGATATTTTGGATTATCATTTGGTAGGAGAATTATTTAAAATATTTTATTATCAACAGAAGATAATTATTTGTTGATTTTGTAAGATTACCAATTTTAAAGTTTTATTACTGATAATTACCAATTTCACATCCTAATTGTAAAAATAGCTGTATGGTTGTATGATTGATATTCGATTATTGTAGTTTATTATTGATAGGCTTAAGAAAAAAATGAGAAAAACAAAATAATAATGATTATAAATATAGATTAATTGTGATTGTTAATAATATTAATAATGATGAAATAAATTATTTTTTATAAAAATGATGAATTTAAAACCACCTAAAACTTAGATTGATAGTGCATCTGATACTGGCAGTGTTAATAAAATTAGTGACAAACAAAAAATAAATACTCTAAAGAAGGCAGTGATAGATTTGAGAGAAGAAAAGACTTAGTTATTGAAGCAAATTACAGATTTAACTCTTAAAAATGCTTAACTAATTAAAGATAAAGAAAATATGGTAGAATTGAAATAAATAATTTAGGAAGAGAAGTTTTAATAAATGATGAAAGACTAACGTTAGTCAATTGGGGTAATATGATGAACTACTTAAATTTAGAATTCATCCAGTTATATGCAATCTTCTAAATTAGTAGAACCAATTAATAGCAATTAAGATTAATCTAAATAAGTAAGTAAGCTGAGATAGTAATTATTTTGCATATTTAAAGAGAATTAGACTAAACAATAGATAATTATGAAGCTAAATTGTCTATTTTATAGACTGCTTACAAGGAGATAGAGCGAGATTTAAAAAACAAAGAATTATCCAATTAAAAATTAGTAAAGGAAGTGGAGGAGAAGATTTAATTAAATAATCAATTCAAAAAGAGTATTGAAGAAATTGAAAGAGATTTGTATAATAAAATTAAAGAATTAAAAGCTGAAAAAATGGAAATTCAATTAAAATTGAAGACTTTAGATAAAGAAGTACAATAGAAAGATGAAGAGTTAAGAATATTACACAAAGGATTAGATGAATCAAGATTTACAGTAGCATAGCTATAAGGAGAACTTGAAGAAAGCAGAGGAAAGTTTATATAATACAAGTTTATATTACACAATTAATTTTTGGATATAGATTGCCTATTTATTTTAAGACAAAATCTATTTAATGATTATGTCTTTGAGTTAGAAACTGCAGCATAAAAGTTCTAATATAAGGCTAGTGAGATTACAGATTTGAAAATTAAAGACGAAACATCTTTCTACTTATCTGTTAAGTCAAGAACCAGAGATGAAGTTTTCAGCATTATGCCTAATTAGGATTTGAAGAAGATTTGTAAATCAATAAAGTAATTATACATAGATATTTAATATAGGAACTTTTTGTTAAAGGCTTAGCAATATTAGATAAATTAATAGCATACTCAACCTCAAAGTCCTAAGAATAATGGTTTCTTGGGTGGGCTTATGTCCATTTTTGGAAACACAGCATCAAAAAATGGAAGCAACACAAATAGCGATGCAAAACAAAAATGATATTTTTATAATCTAATATTATTATATGAGTTAAGAAGAAGAAAATAATGACATTGATGTTTAAGCTTTGTTGGCTAGTATTAACGCTAATTTTGACAATGAACAAACAATAAATGAAACAGAAATCAATGCTTAGGAAGTTCATTAGGATATAGAAAAATAGCAATAGATTCCTAGTGAATCCATTGTAATTGTTAGAGATCAACCTCAATAAAAGGAATAAGAAGAAATAGATCCTGTTGTAGAAATATTGAATAGAGTTGAAATTTAAAATAGTCTATTGACCAATCCAGAAATTAATCAGCATTAATTAGGTAATCTCTTTATTTATTAAAAGAGACTGGCCCACTAAAATAAATAATTGAATAAATTAAGGAAAAATTTGATAAATAACAAGAAATCATTGTTAAAAAATAGAGAAATATATTTGGTCAAATAATTGATATTAGAAATTTATCGAATTAATTAGTTAATGTTCAAATTAACAATCATGGAGTAAGTAAAATGAAGCCGAATGACTTCAAAAACAAGCAAAAAGAAATCGATTAGTTAGACATTTAAGTCTTTAAAACTAAAGGATATGTCTTGTCAATAATTGAAAGATTAGAAATTATTGAACAGAAATTAGACTAAAAGATAGATTAGTATGTTAAATAGAAAGTGCAAGAACTAGCAAAAAAATGATATTTAAATGATTTATATTCGCATTTTTATATTTAAAAAATATTAATATAGTAAAATAAAGATTATTTATTATGACTCATTCTTAATATTTATTTAATTATGAATATTATTTTTAATGAAATCTATGTAGATCTGATGAATAAAAAGTGCTAGAATTTCATTTTCACAAAAGCAGCCATATATAAAACTTTTTACCTAGTTCTACTAGACATGGGAATAATTTTGCTTTTATATAATAAACATAGTAAAAGTACCATGATATTAAAAATCTATTCAAAACCAATAAAATCAATTATAAATCTATCATAATTTAGAGACACTATACATACAATCAATGCTAGGAAATATAATTATAATAAAATAATCAAATATTTTAATAAATGTGTGATAATTTCTATTGCACTCTCTTTAAAAGATTGTAGATTTAAATTAAATTTAATTCTATTTCTAAAGATTTAAAATTTTAGAAATATTTAAAGAATCTCTATTTTAAAAAATCAATTCAATCAAAATTGAATTAGACTAACCTAATATTTTTAAAAATCGACCATTATAATTTTAACTGTTAATGTCCACAAGTGGATATCCCTTAAAACTACCTGAATTAATTATTTATGTAAAATAAAAAAGTAAGATCTAATCAAATGAATATCTTATAAAACTTTTATGAAAAGGAATTAGAAGATGATGGGTTGATAACTTATTTAGAGTAGTGTGAGATTCTTTTTTCTTTTAATCAGGAATTTAAGATTGAATGACGTCTAAATAAGTATTTTAGTATTAGGATTTATCAACAATTTGAATTTTAGTAGCATTCATTTTTCTCCATAGTGTTCGCCAGATTCGGATTCGTCATTTCTTATTTTGAATTATGAACCTTTTTATTTACATATAATAATAAAAAAATCTATTTTTAATTTTGGTGACTTTGTATTATATAATATGAAGATAATAATTAATTTTATTTTAAAATGTCTAAAGAGAGCAGTGCTTTTTGGTCACCATTCAAAAATACTTAGGAGTTTATTGAAAAGGATTCAAAGATAACAAAAGGATTTATTTAAGGGACATTGTTTGCAGTTATTGGCTATGGATTAGGATTAGTCTTATTCAAAGCTAAGACATTAAGAGGCTTTAGTGCTGGGGCTGCAGCAACTTGGCAATTTAGAGATCAGATTGAATAATGATTTAAATAATATATATTATTATGCTCAACATTTGTTTTTGCATGTTCATCCGAACAATAAGAATGTGCGAATCTATTGCATTTATTTTGAAGTTTTTGGTAAATTCTAAGGAGTCTATTTCAAAAAGTATACCGAAATCAAAGCTTAAGAATTAAATTGAATTGGCAGGGAATTAAATATAAAAAAGGCATTATTTTAGGAATTGCATAAGAAAGAAGAATCTATGAATTAATGGAAAGGTTATAAAATACAAGAAGCCTTAAAGGCATCATCGATAAGGCAGAATTTTAAAATGATAAAATTATATATGAATTAGAATATGATAAATTTGATATCATGTAATGATAAATATTCAGGATATTAGAAATACTAATATTAATATTGATACTAATAGGGGTTAAGCATATTCTTATATGACTTTCTACAATATGAAAATATAATTACACAATAGGAGCAGTATCCATAATTTACACAGAAAAATGTTTTTTCACATTCTATTAAATCTAAATCAGAGCAGGATCCTGAAACACATGTTTCATTTTTCCATATACAGAAAATCTATTCTGGCCATCTTTTACTATTACATCCTACTTAGTCGCTTTATTAACTGCATGTTACTTTATCATTAAAGGTTTTATTAAGATATATTTTTGTATTAGTGATTGATGTTGTTTAAGTAAAAGTTTATGTTGTATTAGTATTAGTATTTGTATTTGTATTATTATTTGTACCTGTATCAGTACCTGTATCAGTACCTGTATCAGTACCTGTATCAGTACCTGTATCAGTACCTGTATCAGTTCCAGTATCTGTACCTGTATCAGTTCCTGTATCTGTTCCTGTGTCTGTGCCTGTATCGGTACCTGTATCAGTTCCAGTATCAGTTCCTGTATCCGTTCCCGTACCTGTATCCGTTCCTGTTCCTGTATCCGTTCCTGTATCCGTTCCTGTCCCTGTATCAGTTCCAGTTCCAGTACCTGTGTCTGTTCCTGTATCAGTTCCAGTATCAGTTCCTGTATCAGTTCCAGTATCTGTACCTGTATCTGTACCTGTATCAGTAGTTCCTGATATTAATACAAAATTAATACCTTCATCTATATTTTCACCTTCATCTACTTCATCAATAATTTCAGGTATTTCGTATGGTTTATGTGTGACAACAATAGAATCATAATCAAAGTCTGGATCAGTGAAATCATATTCATCTTATGTATTGTTTGTCTTATTGGGAGTAGTTGTATTGCCTTCAGAAAGATTACCATTATTATTTGTATTATTGGATGTGACCACAATAGTTTATGGAATACCTGTAATATTGACACATTAGAAATTTTGCCATCTACAATCATCTAATTGGATGCATAAAGATTAAACAAGAGCGACATTACAGCCGCAATATTGTACTCTGGCTAGTTGAATATTATCTGATAATAGTGTAGGTATTAAGATTAATAATAAAATAATCATTGTTTCATTTGATAAAAATAAAATAGTTTCCTATCTATTAATTTGTTTGTCTCTTTGATAATGACTATTCTAACTTTTTATATTACAAGTTCATTTTAGTTCTATCAGTAATTTGATATTTTTGAATGAATTTGAATGTGTAGTTAACATATAAAAATAATCAAAAAAAAACAAGCCATTATTTGACAATCCTTTCAAATATTTCTTAAGCTATTCATTATTTATATTAATGGATAATTCTGAGTTATATGAGATACAATATATATTTGGCTCACAAATTCTGGATAATAAAATGCAATACTGTGTTAAATGGAAAAATTATCCTAAGTCTCAAAAAACATGGGAGCCTATTGAGAATTTAGGAGTTCATAATATATCCTCAGTTCGTCGATATCAGAGACACGCAGACTATTACCTATTCTATTAGTTCATTTATGAAGAATAGGTATAAGGATATAGAGTACATTAAAAATAAAATACATTTGAAAAAATTAAAGTTATACCAGATCCATAAGAAGAAGAACAAATAGACTAAGCTAATAGTGATAAACTGAATACAACTCTGAAAGAAACACTAAACAAAGAGAATATTAAATCAACATCTACACCTAAAGATACTACATAAAAGATTACAAGATCTACAAGAAAATAAAATTAATAATAACAAGAAGATGAATCACATTCAGATTCTAAAGATTCAGATTTCGGTAAAAAGAATAAGAAATCTAAATCTAAGGCTAAATCTTCTTAATCAAGAAAGAAATCTCCAAATTCTGCTGGTGATAAATCTAATTAAACTTAATCAAAGAAATCCTAGCTTATAAAGTAAGAATAAATTGAAACTGATGAGATCAATTAAGTTTAGCCTTAGATTTTAGAAGGACAAAATCATCCTGAACAAGAAAAACAAAATCTTGATAACTTAAGTTAAAAGTCAGAGACTCCAAAAGAATAATCAAGAGTTTAAACAAGATAAAGAAATAATAAGAATGAGAAATCTATTGAATAAATCAAATCAACTACTTATTTTAATTAAGTTAGAAAACTTATTCTATCTTTGAATGAGGATGAAAAATCTCTTGTAGCAACTTGTGTCAATGAAAAAATGAAAGATAATATCTTTGAAAATCTTGGAGCCTTATGTGTTTTGGATTACATGCAAAGAAGAGATTAAGTATTGAATGAAATTAAATAGCAAGAATATGTTTACCCTTTAAAAGGAAAACATAATCTTTTATTGAATAAATAAACCAAGAAGAATAAAAAATTAGAAAAATCATCCATTAAAATGGAATCCTAACGATCTACAGATATTGCTTGTCCTCCTCAAACTAAAAGACTTATTAGATTGTCAGCCTTTGAAAAAAAAAGAAAAATTATGAAAAATAAAGAAGATAATTGCCATATGGCTGATTTCTTGGCCTCTATCAATCAATATCCATAATTTGGAATTGTTTCTACTGAAATTGATTCCCATCATTAATATGGATAAATTGGATTCTAAATTGGAGAAGAAATAACTGGACATTATTATGGTGTTAATGCTAATGGAATTGGTAAACCTATTCTTTAGTTGTATTTCATCATGAAATTTAGAAGAGAAGGAGATAAAACATTTTTATACAATCATGTTACCAAAGCTGAATGTTAACTCTATGAAAAAGACCTATTCTATGATTATGTCTGTAAGAATTAACATTTACTACCTGAGATGTATAATGAACTTATTGTTAGAAGTGTTTATAATTAATAATGACAATTTTAATTTTATTTTTATTTTTTCATATGATTTCCTACAAATCTTTATATAGAATTGCAAAATTCAATCAACTCAAAGATTATTATGCTATTCTTAACATCTCTAAAACCAATGATCAATCAGCAATTAAAAAAGCTTACTATGCTCTTGCTAAGAAATTTCACCCAGATGTTAACCAAGGCAAAGAGGATAAATTTAAAGAAGTTAATGAAGCTTATGAGGTTAATACTACTCTATTCTTAGGTATTGTCAGATGAAAATACAAAAAAAGAATATGATGAAGCTAGAACACCGAAGTCTTAAAATAATTATAGTTAGACCTATTCATAGCAATAGTATTACGATTAGAGAAAATATTAATCAAATTCTCAGCAAAGATAAACTTAAAATTAATAGTAATCTTAATCCTTGATTCATTAGTCAAAATTAATATACTAGAAATCAATTTGAAGAAGCCATGAGAAGGGCTTAAGAACATCTCAATTAATAATAGTAGTAGAGACAACACGAGAGAATGAGGGCTTAGTAAGAGTATGAAGAGAGGATCAGAGAGGAAGAAATTTATGCAAGAGCAAAGGAATAATAATATAAGGAATTTGCATAAAGATATTATAATGAGGCAAAAAGAAAAACATTCTATTCTAAAGAAGAAAAAGAAGCCTATGAATAATTTGTAAGATAAAGAGAGTTTGAAGAGTCTATGAAGGAAAAGATTGTATTGAAACTATTTATGCTTAGCAAGACTTTAAAGAAAAAGGGCAATAAGTTATGAATGGATTTTCAAACATCTCCAAAAATTTAGGTGATATTAAAAGCAATTTAGGTTCCATTTGGAATACTATCAAAGGAAAAAATAGATGAATTATTAATTATTTATATTGTTAATTGAATTCTTATTTTCACTATTATAAAGTCACTATAGATTTTGTACTTTTATATATGAAATTTAATTCAAATAACAAATTACGACAAGTTTTAATTAATTTGATGATTTTAATAAATTAAAAAAGAATTAAAATTATTATAAATCGAATTATTTATGGATTATTAAGAGTTGTATGATTTGAGAAAAAAACTTGTTGATTGGAAAAAGTTTCCTACAGAAACTATTTGTATTTTAAAATAGTTAGAATAATCTCCACTTGATTGGGATACTGTTAATAAATCTAAAATATAAAAAACTCTACATACTCTTACCACTATAGATGATAAAAATGATCTTCAAATTACTACTATTAAAGCCAAAGCTTCAGCATTATAAGATCGTTTCAAAAGACTATCTTAAGCTAAGGCAATTTAAAGAACATAACAAGAACAATAAAATCAATCAATAGCTGAAATTTAAGTCTAAAAACAAAATAGTGTCTAGAGTATTTAAAGCAGCAAATCATTGCCTGAAATAGAACTTTTTGCTAATTATAAAATACCATATCCAGCTTATGCTGATAGACTTAAATACTTAAATGGAATAAGCAAAATGTTTATTTCAAATATATTGGCCTTCAAAAAAGAAAATGATTTGAGCGATTCAGATTATTAGACTATTAAAGAATGTGTAGAAATTATAGAAAAAACTATCTATTAAAAAAGAAGGCAAGACCATACTCCTAGAAAAACTTATGAATAAGATTTAAGAATTTTAGCGGGCTTTTTAAAGAAAGATAAAAATGGATCATTAACTTACAGAATTTTTACTAAGGCTTTTGATCCTGTTTCTGCAGCTTAATTAAGGTATTTTAAAATATAATGATCTAGGGCTGCTGATTGGGTTGATGATGAAACTAAACAAGAATAAGCTAGAATAATTAAAGAAAAAATGGAAGCAGAACAAATAGGTTTTTATAAAGATTTGAGCAAAAGAGAAATGGAGGGAGTTGAAGGGAAGACTTGTAAAGGATGCGGACAAAAAAAAGTATATCTTGTTGATGAAAAATAAACTCGTGCATCAGATGAACCAACAACGAAATTCTTTGAATGCTACAATTGTGGAGATAAATTTAGAATCTGTTGATTAGAAAAAAACATATTATTTTAATTTTGAGAGAAGATTTTTAAAAAAGAGAGCATTTTCATATCATTCCTATTAGCCGCTTTTTTCTTTTTTCTATTACTTCCACTACTATAGTTCTGCCACTTTCAAATATTTTGAGGTTATACATTTTCATCTTCACAGACTTTAAATTCAAAGAAATTCAAATTGAAAATTAACTAAATTAAGATAGAGCTATAAATATTAACTAACTAACTTTTTGGCGATTTATGAATACAAAATTTTGTTAATAAGATTTTTTGGTGTAATTAAATAAAATAAATTTCTTTAACTCATCAAATTTAATATGTGTATATTTTATTTATATTCATTTGATTAAGGAATAGCCCAAAACATTACTTTTTCATGTTGTGCAGCTTGATTAATGCTTCTGTAGTTATTTTTTATTACTTCCTTCACACTCTTTATATTCACAGCTTTAATTTCTTATTCAAATAAGAATAAAAGAAATTTAGATGAAATTTTTTTTTAAGTTTACATAGAATCTTATCTTTTAATTTACTAAAAAATTGCGTCAAAGAAATCTATTGATCTTGCCTTTTTCAATTCATTAATTAACATAATAAATATGAAAGAGGAGTGTTCAATAATCAACTCATGTCTTATGAATGGTTTAGTGTTTATAAATTGGAGAAATCCTATTGATAAGAATAAGATCATCGAGATTTAAAAAAAAATTTTTAATTTAACTCATGATTTAGTTATTGAATTAACATATAAACATTACTCCAAATTAAATAAAGTACTCAATGCAAGGCCTATTCCTATATTCATATAGAAATGCTCTCAGCAAATAGATATATTTGGTATAAATTTTTCAAGTATTAATTAAATAGAATTTTATGCATTCCTCCAAATTTTCTTTATAGTTTCTTACTAATCAATTACAGAATTAATCTAAATTAATCTAATTGCATAATTTGAATTGAAATATTGGAATAAAAATTTTTAATATTTACAAATATCATTGTTTGAGGCGTTATTCAACATCAAATTTCCCGTAAATCAAATTGTTTTTTCTTTAAAATGGTTTTTAATATGGCACACTTACTCCTAAATCTCTAATAGTTAGAATAAATATATCTTCTTGAACGATTTCAAAGAACAAATAAATTTCCATTTTTTTCAAAACTTTATTTTCATTCCATTTTTATATAAAATCAGTTGGTTGACTAAATTGGATAGAAATCTATAAATAATTAATATCTAGACTTGATAACATGGCTAGCTTGAGTTTTTTGTCAGTTTTCAAATCCAACTAATTAAAAATTTCAAAAATATGGTAGAAGGCTATTATAAACAAAATTTTGTATGTATGTAAAACTAATTCTATTTCATCTGCGTCAATCTAGACATTTTAATGAACAATATTTCTTAGTACTTTTAAAACTTTGATTATATCAAATGAATTTATAGTTTATGTTTTAAATATGAAATTAGATGTGCAATTTAAATTGAGCCTGATTAAATTTCTGATTATTTTTTTTTTAGGCAATTTAAGAATTTTGTAAGTGTTACTAATATGATTAATAACAAATTTTTAGAATTTGTTATAATAATCCATGATTTGTAAATATTAATTCAATTCTGTAACATTTTAATTAAAAACAATTAAGAATTATGTTTTATCAGAGAATAATTCTGAGTATGATATTACTTATTTATTATTATGATTAGTTTGAACCTCTAATTCTTATTCAGAATACTCTTGAGCATTTCTTTATTTAATTCTGCCAATAATAAATGATTCCAAAGTCTAACCATTTATTTTACAATTTCTGAGCATTTATCTTAAATAGCATCCTTAACAATAGTCAAGCAAAAGTTCCACTTAGTCACTATTTTACTAGTGAGCATTTGTTTTAATTAGATGAAATTAAGAATTTTTATATTCAAAATAATAAAATGGTTGTTTAATTACAATCGGTATAAACTACTCTTTTTATAAATTTTTTAAATACATTGTTGATCTTCCTTTAACTTTAATAAATATTGTTTCCTTAAAGCTAAATTTAAATTATAATATGTTATTATCTGGANGATATATTTGGTATAAATTTTTCAAGTATTAATTAAATAGAATTTTATGCATTCCTCCAAATTTTCTTTATAGTTTCTTACTAATCAATTACAGAATTAATCTAAATTAATCTAATTGCATAATTTGAATTGAAATATTGGAATAAAAATTTTTAATATTTACAAATATCATTGTTTGAGGCGTTATTCAACATCAAATTTCCCGTAAATCAAATTGTTTTTTCTTTAAAATGGTTTTTAATATGGCACACTTACTCCTAAATCTCTAATAGTTAGAATAAATATATCTTCTTGAACGATTTCAAAGAACAAATAAATTTCCATTTTTTTCAAAACTTTATTTTCATTCCATTTTTATATAAAATCAGTTGGTTGACTAAATTGGATAGAAATCTATAAATAATTAATATCTAGACTTGATAACATGGCTAGCTTGAGTTTTTTGTCAGTTTTCAAATCCAACTAATTAAAAATTTCAAAAATATGGTAGAAGGCTATTATAAACAAAATTTTGTATGTATGTAAAACTAATTCTATTTCATCTGCGTCAATCTAGACATTTTAATGAACAATATTTCTTAGTACTTTTAAAACTTTGATTATATCAAATGAATTTATAGTTTATGTTTTAAATATGAAATTAGATGTGCAATTTAAATTGAGCCTGATTAAATTTCTGATTATTTTTTTTTTAGGCAATTTAAGAATTTTGTAAGTGTTACTAATATGATTAATAACAAATTTTTAGAATTTGTTATAATAATCCATGATTTGTAAATATTAATTCAATTCTGTAACATTTTAATTAAAAACAATTAAGAATTATGTTTTATCAGAGAATAATTCTGAGTATGATATTACTTATTTATTATTATGATTAGTTTGAACCTCTAATTCTTATTCAGAATACTCTTGAGCATTTCTTTATTTAATTCTGCCAATAATAAATGATTCCAAAGTCTAACCATTTATTTTACAATTTCTGAGCATTTATCTTAAATAGCATCCTTAACAATAGTCAAGCAAAAGTTCCACTTAGTCACTATTTTACTAGTGAGCATTTGTTTTAATTAGATGAAATTAAGAATTTTTATATTCAAAATAATAAAATGGTTGTTTAATTACAATCGGTATAAACTACTCTTTTTATAAATTTTTTAAATACATTGTTGATCTTCCTTTAACTTTAATAAATATTGTTTCCTTAAAGCTAAATTTAAATTATAATATGTTATTATCTGGAAAATGATCAAAGAAAAACTTAAAAAATATTATTACACCATAAATTCATTCTTTAGAAAAAATGAAAAGAAAATTCTGATTGATGAAATGAATACTATCTAATGTAGGCAGTGTTTAAATTCTGTTCCAAATAAAATTATCATTTATATAACCATAATATTACATCCTTTTGAATAAGCTTAATATATAGTATATTAAGAGTCCAATTAAAAGTATTCTATGGCACAGATATAATTTATAAGAATTAAACATTCATGAAGAAAAGATTTTACTTTATGAAAAAGCATTAATGCAATAGCACACAATATAACTATAATTAGTTATATTGGCCACTAAGTATTATTTTCATCAATTAAATCACTTATTAGCTTGATTAAGTTATTTATTAGCACAACAAAAATAATCCCTAAATATATTACTTTTCTTGTCCATAATCGATTCTATTAATAATTATATTCTAGTTATTTTGAATGAAATGTCAATGTAAAATTATTCATTTTTATTAAAATAGATTTTTATAATAAAATTGTATATATTAATAGTATATATTTATCCTTCATAAGCAGATGAATAGCTTATAATTTCAGCAAATTATTAACGATTTAAATTAGCATCATAAACATCTATTTAAATTATTCAGTAATTAAATATAATTTAATACAAAATGAAACTTGCCAAATCAAGTCAGTCGAAATCAAAATCTTATAAATTCTATCAAAAACTTATTCCTCCTTCTTAATTAATATAATTTATATTTATAACTTAAATTATAATTCTCACCTTTCTAATTTTTACTTAAACTACAAAAATTAAATAATAATAGAATAAGAAAAATATTTTATTCCTTTTAAACAGTAAATTTATTCATGGATAAATATTTCAAAGTTTCTTAAATGACAAATTAAATTGTAAAAAGAAATTCCATTAGAAAATACTTCAATCAATCTATAGATTAAATTTTTCATTTGTTTAATTATTATTATAAATGTTAATTGCATCCATGAAATAATAAATAATAAAGCTATAGATTGAATTATTAAGAATTAATATGAAAAAAAATATTATATTCAGATTGTTTTCTTATATTTCGAAATGGATGTTAAAACTTATTCTAAAATTTTAAAGATTATTTAATATAATTAATTAAAAGATGCAAAATAACATGCTCGAAGATCTCAAGAATATTATGAAAGAAGGATGGTTGGAAAAAGAATCAAGAGTTTTTAAAACGTGGAGAAAGTAATTTTTTATTATGATAAAGGCGCTGGTTTGTTTTGACTACAACAACTTTATACACATTTAAGGGAGAAAAATAATATAGCAATCCAACTGAAATGATTTCATTATCAACTATTAGCACAATAAAATCTTGTTAGGAAGAAACCAACAAAGAGAACACATTTGTAAATTTATGACTAATTTTAGAAAATAGATACGCCAGAAACAACTTTTTATTTAATGTCAAATAATAGTTAAGAGAAGGAAGTTTGGATAGGAGCAATTGGCAAAGCTATGGTTAAATTACACATGAAAAAAAATCAGGCGGATGATGATTTCGATTGATTTGCCAATATAATTAAAAAATTATATAATTTAAAGAGAGCTCTTAATATATCCCGGCATATCTATGATATTTATGTTTATAAAATACAATAATTTATATAGGAATTAGTATATTTTAAATGAATTTATTCAAATAATATTTCTATTGTGAAGATAACAAAATAAAGCCATGAGATAAACCAGTCATTGTTTTATATATAATAACATATTTTATATATCTTATAACGAAAGTATTACAATATAAAATAATATAGTTTTTAGCACGAAAAAATATCTAATTTAATAGAAAATAAAATAAAATAAAAAAAATATAAGTTCTTTGTCAATAATATGCAATCAGAGAGAGAGGAGGATATGAATTAGAACAAAAATAGATTAATCTAAATAGTTGATTGGAAAGAAGAGATAAAAAATAAATAAGTAATTTATATAGAACCTAATTAATTTAAATAAAAAGGCAGGAATTTTAATCAAAGAAATTATGGAGTTACAATAGATTATAGATTTATAAATACAATTTTAGAGAATGATTTTTTAGAGAGTCAGCATTTACAATTTTATATGAATGTATTCAAAGAAGTGTATAAGAAAAAAATAGCAGCAGCTTTTTGTCATTTTTTTTCAGAATTTTATACATAATCAACTGAATAAATATATTTAAATTTTAATAACTTTAATAAAAAGGATGATGAGAAAATTTAAAATGAATATTAACATTAATAATTAAAATAATAAAGTTAAAAACCAATATAATTGGCTCAACCTGATGAAATCAAAAAAAAAATTGAAGACTAACCAGAAATAAAAATTGTATAAATTAAAGAGGACAAAAATTAAATGTAACAATAATTAAAAACTGATTAAAATGAAGATCGATAATAAAATGATAGTGAAAATATTGAAGCTGCAAAAGAAATTGAAAAAACAAATATTATGAATAATGAAGACATAAACTAAATTTCTCAATAATAAAATATTGAATAACATGAAGTTCAATAAAAAAATGATAGTAAAATTATTGAAGCTGAAAAACAAATTGAAAAAACAAATACTATGAATAATGAAGACAAAAATTAAAATCCAGTTATTAATGAAGACACTAACGAGAAGAAACAATAATAAAATACTGAATAACATGAAGATCAATAAAAAAATGATAGTAAAATTATTGAAGCTGAAAAACAAATTGAAAAAACAAATACTATAAATAATGAAGACAAAAATTAAAATCCAGTTATTAATGAAGACACTAACGAGAAGAAACAATAATAAAATACTGAATAACATGAAGATCAATAAAAAAATGATAGTAAAATTATTGAAGCTGAAAAACAAATTGAAAAAACAAATACTATAAATAATGAAGACAAAAATTAAAATCCAGTTATTGATGAAGACACTAACGAAAAGAAACAATAATAAAATACTGAATAACATGAAGATCAATAAAAAAATGATAGTAAAATTATTGAAGCTGAAAAACAAATTGAAAAAACAAATACTATAAATAATGAAGACAAAAATTAAAATCCAGTTATTGATGAAGACACTAACGAAAAGAAACAATAATAAAATACTGAATAACATGAAGATCAATAAAAAAATGATAGTAAAATTATTGAAGCTGAAAAACAAATTGAAAAAACAAATACTATAAATAATGAAGACAAAAATTAAAATCCAGTTATTGATGAAGACACTAACGAAAAGAAACAATAATAAAATACTGAATAACATGAAGATCAATAAAAAAATGATAGTAAAATTATTGAAGCTGAAAAACAAATTGAAAAAACAAATACTATAAATAATGAAGACAAAAATTAAAATCCAGTTATTAATGAAGACACTAACGAGAAGAAACAATAATAAAATACTGAATAACATGAAAATCAATAAAAAAATGATAGTAAAATTATTGAAGCTGAAAAACAAATTGAAAAAACAAATACTATAAATAATGAAGACAAAAATTAAAATCCAGTTATTGATGAAGACACTAACGAAAAGAAACAATAATAAAATACTGAATAACATGAAGATCAATAAAAAAATGATAGTAAAATTATTGAAGCTGAAAAACAAATTGAAAAAACAAATACTATGAATAATGAAGACTAAAATTAAAATCCAGTTATTAATGAAGACACTAACGAGAAGAAACAATAATAAAATACTGAATAACATGGAGATTAAAAAAAAGATGAATCAAATAGCCTTGCTAGTACTCAACTCTAACTTTAATTTGATTAAAAAAAATAAAATACAGAACATATAAATCCTTAACAAAATTCTTAAAAATAAACTCAGACTTAACAAAATCCTTAATAAGAAACATAAATTTAACAAAATACTTAATAAAAAAAGTAATTTACATTTGTCGTCACAAATATGTTTATTGACAAACCTAAAAAAGAAAAATTTTAAATTAATAAATTACCTGATTTATTAAAATAATTTGCTGAAATGAATAATCTCACTTCTATTTAGGATTTAAAAACTTAAGATTTTTTATATTTCCCTATTAATTTAAGTTAAGCTCATTGGATAAGTGCCGTTATTAATTTAATAGATAAGAAAATATATTATTTTGACTCATATTATGAAAGTGTTGATTCTGATGTAAAAGAAGGCATATTTAAAATACTAGAGAGTTTAGATTTTGACCGCAATTCTTTTTAATTTGAACCAAAATGGAATAAATAATTAAATGGGTAAAATATATTTTTAAATTAGATATGATTGTGGTATCTTTATTTTATTATCATTATTATTCACTTATTAAGGAGATTTAAAGTATCCATATAATTAGAGTAGAGCGACTTAATTTAGATCTAGAATTTTATACGATTTGGCTATTGTTGGTTCTTAGATGTAATTAACATAAGAATTATTTTAATCAATAATAAAATGAAAATTTATATCATTTAAAATATGAAAATAATTATATAAATCCTGATAAAAATAATTTAATATAATCATTTAAACTACGATAAAATAATAAATTATAATCACTAATAAAAAGTTTGAAATTAAAAATTACTATTTATATATCTACTTAAAAATTATAAATGAATGTTATAAAAAAAAATTTCTGCCTTTAAATAAATAAAATTGGGTATTAAAAGTCTGAATTCTTTTAACCAGTAAGAGAGAAGATACAGACTCATCATAAGTAAGAGAATAAAAGTTACTATTTCAAGTGATGGAGTAACAATTTTTAATTGATTAGAAGTTTTTCATCCTGTTGCTAGAGTTTTGATAGTAATTGCTAAAGATGACGAGATTATGTTAGAAATTTAAAATTTAACTTTACATTTTATACAACTCTTTTTGGCAGCAGAATTGTTAGAAGAGCTAAAAAATTTATAGAAGGAGAAATACATCCATAAATTAGAAAAAATTGTCATGGGGGGAGCTATTGAATTAGAGATTTCTAGATTACTTAGATATTATGCAAGGTCAGTTACAGGAAAAGCTTAATATATTGTAAATTCTTTTTTTGCAAGTGCTCTGAAGCATTTATAACATATCAAAGAAATGCTGATTCAATTCTATTGAAATTTGAACAAATTGAGATAAAAAAACCTGTCTAAGTGTGGAAGAAAGCAAATGATATGGGATTGATATTAATGGTATTTAATCTTTTGTAACCCGCTTTTGTCAAAAGAAAGATGCTATCTTATCGATTGATGAAAGAGTTAAAAAATTTAATATAAAGATTTATATTTAAGTATATAGATTTTATGCTTTATAATTATTTTAAATATTTAAACAATAATATAAATTTTTATATATAAAATTCTTTTTAATATGATTATGGTTTTATGATTATTATATTTAACAATTGAATCATTCCTCTCTTAATGGTACAATTGCTGGTGCTACAATTTTTAATACTTCCACTAATCTTCTGTGGCAATTCAATACAGCCTAATGATCGCTATCCTAAAACTTTCCAACAGGTCTTTAGCCTAATCAATCATTTAATTATTTTTAAACCTGTTATTTATTTATAACAAACTCTAAATAGTCTATTTACTGTCTCTTGATTTGCAATTGATAAAATACGGTCAGCTTATGCTTCACTCATCTTTGCAAAATTAATTTTATATAAATATTATCACAGAATTTATGATATTTACAGATTTTCTCTCTTAATATTTATTCAATAATTCCTCAATTAGTAATTAATTTCATGGTAAATTATTTGCTAAATTCTTGGAATAATTAGTTTGTTAAAGTAAATTTTATCTAATAATAAATCCAAGTGTGTACATGTTTGTATATTTTGAATTATATGAAATGATTCAATCAGTGGTTTAATCTCATGCAGAAACATCCAACTAGAATTTAATTAAATGTTTACGTCTATAGCTAAACAGGAAGCAAAAATTTCTAATATTCTTTCTCTATCTTATACTAAAAAAACCTTTTGAATAAGTATCCTTTAGGGTGTCCATAAATATAATGAAAATTGCGATGTTAATAGGATATCGATCGAGAATATTAAATAAATCCAAAAATACTTTTTCAATATATTTACTCTTTCATAGTCGAATTTATCATGATAATTTGATAAATTATTCTTACTACTATGTGAGATATGTTCTACTATTTAAGGTAAATGTCCCAAACCCCCCCCCCTGAATGTTCTAAATTTTTCGGACTTGTATTCACTAACATATATAAATCCAGTTCTTTTTGCGTTAATTTATTATAATAAGTTATAATTATCTAACCTCCTTCCCAAAATAAAATATAAAAATCTCCAATTTTATACACTAAACAACCTCATTTCCTTATACTCAAATAAAAAATTTAAATTTGTTACAAGATAAAGTGCCTCTGAAGACAACAAAATTATATAAATTGATATCTCAATTTATATAAATCACGAAATCATCAAGGTATGTAATTTAATTATTTTATAATAAATCAAAAAAAATTATTTTAAAAATGATTTTTAAAACAGCTGATTGATTATTCAAAATTAGAGCAATATAGAATAAATTTGATCATTATCACCTAACTTTTAAATAGCATTTTGATAATTTTAACCAAAACAAAATTTTTAAACGAAAAGGAACATTTATAAAAAAAATAAAAAAAAGATTGTTTATTGAAAAAAAAAGTAATATTAAAATCAATAAATACATGATTATGAATATTAAATTTAAAACATGGTTAACTTTATTAAAATAAAGTTTCGAAAATTATATTTTGATAGAGATTTAATTATTTAATGTCTTCAATGAAATCTAATAAGAATTTGTATTTAAATTGATCACTTAAATAAAATTAATTCAAATTTAAATGATCTAATTTAGTTATAATAAGTTTTCAATAAATAATTATGATGGGTTTTTGAGTTATTAATAAATTTTATTATTGGTTTTTAAATTTCTGCTATAATGAAGAGAGTAGGAATACAAGATGAGTCTGAATATAAAGAGCCTTTGCTAAATGATGAAAAATTTAAGGAATGCAATTTTTTGTTCACAAATATTAGTCCATTGATTGAACTCATAAATAGGAAATCAGATCAACTTGAGAATTCAGATTTGTAATACTTCTTGGAGCCGAATTTAAAACCTCAAAAGGCAATAGATTTGGTTGAAAGGTATAAAGTAACTTAATCATAGAATATAAATGGAAGAATTAGAGAGAAGAAAAAGAAATAATATTAGTTTAGAGAGAGAATATCAAACTCCAACATTTTATATTTTTAAATCATTATTTCTTGGAAAATTTTCATTTATTGGATTGTTAACATTTACAGATAAAGCAATATAGATTGGATCGGTATATCTGTTAGATTTAGTTACTGATTCGATCAAGGATTATAATCTTCCAGAAGAAAATCATTAGATTTTAAAACCAATTTTGTTATTACTGACAATGACAATTGTCTATACATTTGGGACATACATAGAATCAATATCAAACAATTATTAAAATTAATTTACAACATTATTAAAAATAGTTGGGCAATATTTGATATATTAGAAAGCTTTAAGAACAAAATACCTTTAGGAGACTGTATAAAAAGAAAAGACAGATAAAAAGGATGGAGATGAGGAATATGTAGCAAATGTAAATAATTTGTTAACAGTTGATATTGAAGAACTTTCTGGTATATATTGGGGTGTATTTGGATGTAATAAATATAGATTTAATAATAGTATCTTCATCTTTGATCACAATCGGTTTAGCATTGTATATGTTATACCTGAAATTAGGGAATGCTATATGGACTGGATTGATAGTACTAGTTTGTGTTGTTATTTTTAATTCATTTACAACGACATTGACAATTGTAAAAAATTAAATATTATTTAAGATGTTTTATCGAAAGGCTTTAGTCTAGAAAGATAGTAGATTAGCATTGTCATCTGATGTAATAGAGGGTATGAAATAGATAAAATATTTATCTTGGGAATAAACATTTAACGATAAAATATTGGCGATTAGAAAAAAAGAGTTTGGATTTATAAGATGGTAGAAAACAATCGATATTATAAATAATGTTTAATGGAGCAGTATAAGTTATATATTACTGTACTTTTTTTTGTCCAGTTATGTAGAGAAAAATGGAGAGGATGCATTGAAATCAACAAATGTTTTCACAATAATTGCTTTATTTAATTTATTAACATTTCCTTTGGGAGTGATTCCTTATTCAGTTAATTAGTTAATAAATACTACTGTATCTTATAAGCGTATAAAGACATATTTGGATCTTAAAGAAATAAATGAGGAAGAAATAATAAGGTATAAAAATAGTATAGGAGAGGAGTATGTGATAGAAATTCCTTAGATAGCTTTCAAATGGCCATCAAAAGGACAGAACTCTGAAGAGAATGAAACCTTCTAATTGAGGTTAGCAGAATTGAAAATAAAAAAGAATACATTGAATATGCTAATTGGAAGAATAGGATGTGGGAAGACAGCGTTATTAAATGCGATTTTAAATGAAATGGATGTAAAAGAACAGAATTAAGATAGTTTGAAAGTGAAGGGAAGTTTAGCTTATGTGAGTTAAAATCATTGGTTGTAAAATATGTCAATAAGAGATAACATTTTATTTGGTAAGCCTTATGATAAAGAAATGTATAAGAAATGTATAGAAGCATGTGATTTAATGCCAGATTTGCTTACATTTCCAAAAAGGGATTAATATATTCTGGGTCCAGATGCAAAGAATATAAGTGGTGGATAAAAGCAAAGAATCTCATTATGTAGAGCTTTATATTAAAATTGTGATATCTACTTAATGGATGATATATTCTCTTCATTAGATATGCATGTTGCTGATAATGTGTTTAATAAAGGAATTAAACAAATGTTATTAGATTAAGGAAAGACAATTTTGATGATCACTTCTTAATTTAGATTTATAGAGATGTACAACAAATGCAACATTATTTATATGATTGATGGTTCTATTTGTTAAGATGAATAGTTGTTGAATGAATTTATGTCATAAGAGAAAGAGAAATAACATAAAATAGAACAAGAATAATTAGAAAAAGAAGAAAAAGAAGAAAAAAAATTAATCCATGAAAAACCAAAAGTTAAGTAATCTCAAGAAATTGACTTAGATTTACCTATATAAGAGTCTGATGATAAAAAAAAAAATGAAGTAGAGGAAGAAGAAAGAGAAAGTGGTGAAATTGCTGGAGATACTGTTTTATATTATATATCCTAAATGAGTTATGTTTTAGTAGCCATAGCTATATTATTTTCAATTGTTCTTATGTTGAGTAGAAACTTAATAGATTTCTGGATTAGGGCATAAATCAGTGTTGACAATCATACATTTGATTTTTTTGATGATTGGTTTGGAACTTCATTTAATAGTAAATTTTCTTGGCTGATTTCAATTATAGTTATGATTACATTTGTAAGTGGAACTGTTATGAAAATCTGCATCTTATTGGGTGGTTGGAGAACATTTAAACGTTTAAATCAAAGTATTATGAATTCGAAAATGGTATTCTTTGATAATAATGCTTAAGGCAGAATTATCAATAGAATATCCAATGATACATTAATTGTTGATGATGAACTTCCTTGGTATGTTGAAGTACTTATTATGTCATTACTTGCATGCATAGGTTATCCTATAGGAATTATCATTCTATTTCCTTGGCTCATTGTTATTATTATTATTGAACTTTTTGCTTTTAGATGGTTGTAGAAATACTTTAGAAAAAGTAATCGAGATCTTAAAAGAATTCAATCAACCAATGAAGGTAAAGTTATTTCTCATCTCACTGAAACTACTTCAGGTTTAAGAACTATTAGAGCATTTGAAAAGTAAACATATTTTATTAGAGAATACATCTATAAACTAACTGAATCAATTTGCTCCTTTGTTAATAGTAGAAGAGTTAGTTACTGGTTATCTGTCAGATTACATTTACTAAGCAACTTAATTTTCTTATCTGTTTCAATCACAATAATTCTTATGATGCTCTTTTAAATTGAAATTGATTATGCTACTTGTGCTATGACACTTACTTATGCTGTTCTTATAGCTAATGAATTCAATGATACAATGAATTGGTTTACTTAAAGTGAAGCTAAAATGGTGTCAGTAGAGAGAATTAGATAATATTTTAATAATCCTTAAGAACAATATAATAGTGTAGTTTAGTTAAATCCCTAAGTCACATAAATTATTAAAGTGCAAGTGCCACCTAAACCATAAAATGTTGATCCTAATTAATATGCAATAGTGTTTAATGATGTTACAATAACTTATGATAATGTTTTACAAAATCAAAATGTCAAATATGCATTAAAGAACTTTACTTTATTTATTAAAAAAGGTGAGAAAATAGCCTTTGTAGGCAGAACAGGGTCCGGTAAAACTTCAATCTATAATATTTTATTCAGATTATATGATTTCCAACAAGGACAAATATTCATAAATGGTCATGATGTATTTTATTTTATTTAACAAAATATTAGATCTAAAAGATGTAATTGAGAGATGTGAGATAATTATTATCTATAGTTCCTCAATTTGGATTCTTATACAATGCTACTTTGAGGGATAATATTGATCCATAAGGGATATTAACTAATGAATAAATTGAATCAGCATTTAATAATACATAATTTAGAATTAGAGGTATAATGGAGGATTCTACAAAAACAAATAATACAAGTTAAGAAGATATTTAGTAATCTTCAACAAATATTAATTTTATGATTGCTAAATCAGGAGGGAATCTATCAAATGGAGAGAAATAAGTAATAAATTTTATGAGAGTAATCTTATAAAATAAAGACATTGTTTGTTTAGATGAGGCAACTTCAAATATGGATCCAAAAACAGATGAAGAATTACATAAGACATTATTTGATTATGTATAGAGTAGTAATAGAACATTGCTTGTCATTACTCATAGACTTGAAAATATTTAATAATATGATAGAATTGCAGTTTTGGAAAAAGGAGAGATAGTCGAATTAGGAACATATGAAGAACTTATGTAAATGAATGGATGGTTTGTTAGATTGGTAAATTAAAATAATGAATGAAAATATATATTTCAACCAAACTCATTAAGCAACACGAAATTTCATATTTTTTTTTATCTATTTCTCATTTTTTATTTAGACACTTTTATTTTACTTATCTTTTTTATCTTTGTCTTTAGTAAAAGAAATCTCTGATTTATTTTCAGATGTATGATCTATATTTTTATTATAATCCCTCTTTTATTATTGATTATAAGATTAATTTGTTTAATAATGATTTTTATTTGTGTAAGTTCTTTGAGTTTGTTTGCTTTTACTTTAAGAATTTTAATAAGATTATTTTTTATAATTATTTTCTTTATTTTGATGAACATTTTCAAAGTGTTAAGAAGTTGAAGAATTTGAATCTTTATCTTTATCATTTGATTCAATATCATTCAAGAAATTTGCAGTTTTATAATATTTTTCTGTTTTTAAGTTTTATTTAGGGAAATTTGTTTTTTCTGTATCAGAAGGAGTATCTTAATCTTAAAGAAATAATTGATTAATTTGGTTTGAATTTTTTTAATAGTCATAAACAATAGCTTGAAAGGTATCAAGAATTCTGTTGCTTGCCAACCAAAAGCTTTTAGAATCATCCAAATTTTGTCTTATTTAATAAATAATTAATTACATATTGAGATTATGATTGGTGATTGATTCTAAAAATTTAGAGAGATTAGGTAGAAGTAATGTTTATATTTAGGGGATATCAAATTATTAAAAAGCTTAAGAACATTTAGCATTAAATGGACAATTATAACATGGATTTTCTTCTGAGATTCCAATTTATGCTCTCAATTATTTAAACAAGTGAATTTCAGATGATTATGAAGGATTATCAATAGGACAAGGCATATTAATAATTCTACCTAGATCTCTTTTGAAAAATCTGTAATAAAAGTTACCTTTGGGTAGATCTTTAAAATTATGATTGAGGGATAGGAAATAAGCCTTAAATAGTTATTATGACATAAATATAAATAATGTTTTAATTTGATATTATTTGATATTATGTCAATGACTGTCGTGATGGATGTTAACAATGTAAAAAGCAGTTTCAATACTAGAAACCAAGAAAGCTCTATCTTTGATTTCAATACCAAATTCTTTTTCAAGAGCATCATGAATATGAATACATGTGGCAACATCAACATATCCTGCAGCATCATTCCAATTAGTATTAAATGTGATTGGAGTTGAATCCCACTAAAAAAGATTATGATTTGAAGATATACTCTTTCAGGATCAATTTTTCTTAATCTATCTCCAACTACTTTTATGATTCTTTTTGCTGTGATTGCTGGCTAAATTATAAAAGTTATTTAAATTGAATACATTGTTATAGACAGATCCATTAGGGAAATGATATGAATAAAGTGGGATTTGAGTTTACATAGTCTTTGCAAATGTAGATACTAATTTATTCATATTATTTTAAATTATTATTTATTGTATTAATATATACTCATTGTTTCTTTGCTTATTATTTTTTAGGTTATGATTTCTTTGTTTCTTTTTCTTTTGTTTATTACTCTTTAGGTTATTATTTCTTTTAATCTTTCTTTTCATCTTTTACTTCTACTTCAGCATCTTCTTTCAATTTTTTGATTCTTAACATTCCTTATTTTGCAGATAATCCAGCAGGTGTACTATAATTGTTAATTATATTACTTAACTTCCCAAGCACCACCAGCTATTTATAAACCTGTTTATGTACATCTCCAAATACCTATTGCTTATCTCTTTAATGAATGCTATTTATTATAATATATTTCATACAGCCCCAGTAAATGTATTGAAATATCTTTAATGCTATGAAATTTCAAACTTCTTTATAATCTTTCTTAATGATGCACCATATCTTGTTCCATATTTTCCTGTAATTCCTACCTTCTTTGTCTTTTTAGTCATTTCAAATAATAATTAAAATCTTTAATTTATTTTTAAATTATTACTCAATCCATTCATTCACATATATCAATTCTATCTACTTTATATCTAAATAACTTTACTTTCTTCATTTTATATACTCAACTCTCATTATTTTCACTTATTACAATATTCCCCTTTAAAAAGAACTTATTTTACTCTCAAATCTCTTTTAATTAATTATAAATGAAACACTACAAAAAATAAAAACTGGATGCTTAATTATTCAATGTTGAAAAAGTTGTAGGAAAGAGATATGACCCTGAAACTAATGAATTATAATATTGTATTAAATGGGAAGGTTATCCTGATGAAGAAAATACTTGGGAACCTGTACATAATCTTTCAAATGTTCTATCATTTATTTAAGAATATGAAGCTAATCACATTACTTATAAAAAAAAACCTAAAGTACTTATTGATGATAAAAAACTTAAATAACTCCTCCTCAACAAACTAAATCAATTTCTAGAATAAATGGCACCTAAGTATGAATTGTAAGAAATCAACTTGAGTGATTTCGATAGCTCAGAAGAAAACAAAGATTAGCAACAACAACAATAAGAAACTGAACCTAAAACTATGCCAGAACCATATTAACCAAAATCTCATATTTTAACTCAAGGCTTTCATTGGTGTCCTTAAAATTATCAATCTAATATTGATTATTGAAAATATCATGCCAAAATTTTGTGCTTATTAGACGCTTTTAATTAAATTCTTCTTAATATTTCTTCATTTTTAATTTCACTTTATTAAATCAAATCTAACGCATAACTCTAGCATTCTTCAACTAATCTTATTTATATTTAATATTTTACATTATTCTATCCTTTTTCAACTTTTACTTAATTTACAAAATTCCTATTTCTAATCTTAAAATTATTCTCTCAAATTAATTGATACAAAATCTCAAGATATATCTATTAAAATATTTTTTTCAAATGAAACTTTATGAAATATCAAATTCACTTTTTTAATATTATTTTATTCTATTTATAATTAAATAATTAGGTAAACTTAGACATATATAATTTAATTCAACTTACTTATTTTATTTATTCCTTTTATATTCATAAATATGGAGACAATTTAAAAATATTTAAAAAATTAATTTATTAGAAATTTTATTCTTACATTAGGTACATCAAATGTGACGGATTTTTAGGTAAGACTGGATGAAATGGCAAGTCGAAGCAAGAAATTTCAAACAGATCTAAATAAAATACGGCGTTTCTGCTGTAAATAAATTGACAGTCAGTAAAAGAACTAAATTGAATTAAGCTTAGACATGAGGCATCTATAACTCTTTGATAAAATTATATCCAGAAATACTATTATGATCTTCATAGTCAGTGGGTTTCAACACTTTAAGATATCAAAAACATAAATATATTAATTTTTGTATGCTTAAATACTATTGAGATAATTCTTAAAAATAAATGCTAATCTTATTGAGCTTAGGATATTTTTTGACTGCTTGATATCATATTAAAATTTAAGTGATCATGAATAATTTCCACCTATAATAAAGATATGGTGGGGTAATTTAAAAAGAGACTAAAGAAATAATATTCTTAATTTATTATATTTAATTAGTCCAATAAATCTTTTCTTTATCTTTGAAACTAATCTAATTTTGTTGTTATTTTTAATTAGTATAAATTCAAGCAATCATCCAAATAACTTAGTTTAAATACAGATTTCCAGAGAGGTAAAGAGTATTTGATTTCATTTATCTAAGTTACCATTTGAAATATATTAACATATATTAACAAAGATGACACCCGAATTTAAGTTAGAATTATATTTTAGATTTGAACCGTGATTTAATTTGATGAAAGTTTTATTAAGACGAATAGGTGAATTGAAGAAAGGATTTGCAATGTGTCTAGGTAGTTGATTTTATTTACTTTATAACAAATAAAATAAGAGTACATTGTAGTTTTTGAAATGAAGGTAAAATATATTTAATAATTCTGTCTGCATTATGATAATATATAAATAAGAATAAATAAAAAGTATATTTTAAATTATATAATAGAAATTGATATGAGCAAAATTTATATACAATCCACTTGATTAATTTTGAACATTATTTATAAATTAATGATTTTATCATAATAAAATTATGATGGATACAAAGAGTTTGATATGAACAGAAAGTTGAAAGAAGAGGAGAAATCTATTAGAACGATGAAATAAGAGATTATGAAATAATAATTAATTGAATAAAAATAATTATAAGAGTAAAGAAAAAAGGAGTTACAGCTATAAAAATAAAAGGAAGATGAAGAGTAGATTTAATTAATTCGTTAAAAGTAAGGAGAAGAAAAAAGCCAATAAATATAAAACAGAGAAACCACTAAATAAAATTTATAACAACAGAACTATCTAATTTTGAATCATTAGAAACTAATAATTGATGAAAAGGTAAAAAACAAATTAATTATATTAGAAATAAGAAGCCTTAAAAATAGAAAACGATATTATCAATAATGCTATAAATGGATTGTCAATGGAAGAACAAATGAGAAGATAGAAAAGAGAAATGTAAAAATAAATTGTTGAATAATAAATGAAAGAATTACAATAAAGAAAAGAGAAAGAAAGAAAAGATAAGGAATTTGAATAATTAATATATTAGGAACAAACTTAAAATGAATCACAAAGAATTTAAAAACAAGAAGACTCTTACAGAAATGTAACTTAATTCTAAAATTATTAAATTAGTATTACCAAAAATTGGCAGAAAGATAAAATGTACTATAAGATATTTATAGACAGAAGGTTGATAATCCAAAAATGTAATTGGATTATATAATTAATAAATAAGTAAAGGAAAGGTAAGATAAGGAAGAAAATGAATATTTAACTAAAAGATAATAATAGTAAAAGTAAAAAGAAACTTATTAAAATGGATTAGCCAATTAAATATAAGAGAAAAATGAAAAAAAAAGATAGGAAGAAAATATAAAAGAACAAAGAAAATTAGAAATATTATAAGCGTCTATATAGTTTGAAGAATAACAAAGATAAGAAAGATTAAGGAAGAGAGAAATTTAATAGTAATATCATACATAATTATCTACAATTGTATATAATAAAAAATTATTATTAATAGAGTTAATCTTAGAGTTAAGGTAATGGAATTTTGAATACAGAAATTTCTTAATCAAATGTTTACAATCCATTAACAAACCCGAATCCTAATTAAATTCAAAATCCTTATATACTTCGTTAAATATAATATAATAATTCTAGTCTCTAATAATCGCCATCCATGAACTAATCAAAATTAGCTTCTTTTGGTAAAAGCAGTTTAATAAATTGAAATATATTCATATATCAATGATAGTATTACATAATTATAATAAGATGCTAGAAATAATAATCTAAATATTCTACTTAATTTTAATTAAGAAAAATATGTATACTTATATATATAATTTATTGAAATGAAAAGCTTGATGCAAATGATGTAAGTAAATAATAAATTAGGACTAACACAGCATATAAATTAGATAAAATGTTAAGTGAGGAAATTAAGATTGATGAACTCATGTATATATTTGGTTAGGAAATACAGAATGCTGAAACTTTTAATTAAAAGAAAGACACTCTTATTTGGTTTAGTTATAGAGCTAACATTTAGTTTGAAGGCAATTCAATATCAGATTAAGGATGGGGTTGTTTATTACGTGTAGGATAGATGATGTTAGCAGTATTATTCTATTAAATATAAGAGAATGCTTTAATGAGAGAATGCAAGATTTTAGCCATTAATAAAACAAAATCAATGATCATTAATTTATTTGATGATAACTAAGAGTATTCTAGTATAGCTCCATTTTCAATTCAATAAATAATCAAAAGAGCCTCTAAAAATCTAAATATGAAAATTGGGGATTGGTATACAGGACCAAAAATTATGAGTGTTATTGAAGATCTAAATAAATATAACATGAACATTAAATAAATTAAAATAGTTAATTTTCTAGAATAGTGTATTTTAGAATCATAAATTGATTTATAGTTTTAGAAGCCACATTTATTAATTATTCATGCTATTATTGGAGATAAATATTTAGGATAATTAGAAATTCATTATTTGTAGTAACATATGTTAATATCTTAATTTGCTGGAGCTATTATTGGAAAAAATAATAAAGCCTTCTTTCTCATAGGATTTTAAAAAAATAATGCAATTTATATGGATCCTCATTATGTTTAGGTAAAAATTAATTAATTTTGTATAGGAAAGTAATAAAGTCTAAATGGAATGTAATCTAAAATGTTAACCAATTAAAAATTTAAATGGAACAATAGCATTGGCATTCTATATTTCAAATTATCATGAATACATATAATTTAAGAAATAAATTAATTTTTAATAAGGATCTATATTTAGTATATTAGAAGATTCAGGATAATAGTTTACTTGATTTTATATTTAGATATTAAAAGTTTATATTAAATAGAATATTTATAATAATAAAATTAATGTCATTGTAAGAATTTTAAGATTAGTAGAATTCAGATGCAATAAATTTATAAATAAAGGATAATATCATCAAAGAAAAGGGTAAAGATGTTATGAAAGTAAAATCAGAAGAAATCAAATAAAATCAAAAATTAGAAATAGTGAATAATTTTTTTTCAGACCAAATAGGATTTGAAATTTAGAAATTAGAGATAATTATTAATCCAGATGAGAAATAAGAAATATCAAAATTAATAAAATCGAACCTTGAGAAAATTAAATTTTCTAACGATGAAACCATTCTTTAAGTATAGTGTGGTTGATATTATTAGTTAATAATAGTTGTTAGTGCTATTATAAATCAATAGAAACTTGTCAAAAATTACAATTTGGTAATTGAAAATAAAAAAGAAAATTAAAATAAAGTTCATGCTTTAACTTAATAAATAGAATTCACTAAAAATTAAATTAAAAGTTTAAAAACAAATGTAAAAATCTCCTAATATTTAGTTAATTAGAAATAATTTAGATCTTGAGAAATTGAATGCAAATGATTCTTTAGATGAGAATATTAAAGACTTTTTATCAGAAAAGTTATCAATGTAATTCCCTTAGGATCTTACTAATCCAAAAGATTTAATTAAATTGACAATTAATTTAGAATTTATAAATGAGTAAGAGATAAATAATAGACAATAAAGTTGATCAATTGATATTATATAGAAATATTTATAAATAAAAAAATTTTATTATTAATTGTTATTATTTTGGATAAATGTAATAACGAGATTAAGTAGAAGTAAGTTATAATTAGTAATAAAAAATAGGATAAAAAGCCGTTAATGGAAGGAATATATGATATGTTTGTTAGAAAATCAGCTATAACAAATACTTTATAATAAGTAATTTCAATTACAGAGCCGGTAATAAATAAAGGGCCTAGTATTGAAGAATAGTAACTTTAGATATAGGAATATTAATTGAAGTATTTGTTAGTGTTAGGAATTCATTTTGGTGTAGCTCTAATAATCATAGGATTATTAGGATATTTCAATTTAAGCGAATAAATATAATAAATACCTTTTATTATTTGGGTTGTTCTTTTGATGCTTTACATTTTATCATTGGCATTAGCCTAATTTAGTGAATCAACTTCATAAAAATAGCCTAAAAACGTATTTTTATTTGTAAAATTTATAAATTAATAAAAAGGGAGTTAGTTCTATAGTGAGATAATTTTGGTTTGTTTATGTGGTTGTGATTTACCCAGAATTGAATTTTGGTATGATCTTAGGTGTTATTTTTATGAATTTAATAATAATATCACTTTGTTTTCATTTAGATAAATCAGAGGGGATTAAAAATTGTTTCCTTGTTTCTGATTAACCTTGGAGAATATCATTTGTGCTTTTATTTGAGATATTATTTGTTGGTTTATATTTGAACATATAGGATGCTTTGTCAGCAATCATATGGTAAATTAATTAAGATATTATAATTAATAGGATAATAGTATTATTTTTCTTATATTCATTTATGTTGTTGAATATATAATTGGTAGAGTTTAGAAGACATCTGGCTAAAAATGGAAATATCTATTTTTTATCATAACTGTACTTTGATGGTGATATAGTGTTTCCATGTTATTTCTTGGAGCATCATTTAGCATGTAGTTGCGAAAGAAGTATTCTAAAATGAATATTAATAAAAATAAAATAAACATTTGAATTATTCAATTCTAATTGATTGGACCATCTCCAATAGAAGTCCAAAACTGTTAACTTGGAATTATGTACTTAGATTTAGTAAATAGATTTTCTAATATATATTTATGTTATTTTACATGCATTTGCTAAGAAATTCTTAAAAGATAACAGTTCATCATTATGAATCAACAAAACTGCATGAGCACCTGCATCAAATGTATAACCAACAATATTTTTAGCATTCCTATTATAAATATGAACCATTTAAATTATTTGTCTAGAGAAATCATTTAAATATAATAGTGGAGGATATGTATCCATACATGTAGCATGAAATTAATTACTATCTTTAATTATTATTTCCATCACTTTATTAAAATCTTGATTTTCTAAAGCTGTTTACAATTCTTGGATATGTTATTCAACAAATTGTCTAACTCTTCCTTAAATTAATTTACTAGTTTCCCAGGTCATTTTCATACCATCCTTTGATAGTACATCTTTTTAACCTTAATGTGTATCTGTTAATATGACAATCGAAACTTTATCTTTCAACCATCTGCTATTTTGAATTTCATAAGGCAAACATCTTTTACTTTCCAGATTAATAGTTTCTTGATCGCATTTATCTAAGTTGTTTAATTAGACTCCTGGAAATAATACAAAGTTGCCATACAAACATCGACATGCACTTCCTGAACCAATTCTGCTTAGATATCTAACATCAATGTTAGTCTTTAAAATATCTTATAAACATAATGCCAAAGCTGATAATCCTGATGATGATGAAGCTAATCCACTGCCAGTAGGAAATGAATTATTTGATTCAACTCTAATTCCATATTTATCAATATCTGGTATTAGCTATCCTAATAATTTATCAGAAGGGGAATTCTTGTATCTATTACATGTTAATTATTTAGATTGTTGTATTTGTTCTCTAAATATATTGAACAGTCTTTCAATTCTATTACTTATAGCAAAGTCTTTTCCATTTATAAGTAATTCATTTTTATGTGATTCTGGATTCAAAGTTAACGTAGTTGTTGTAAATATATCTTTAGGATTTAAAGTCACTCCTATATTGGTATTTAATGGAATAATTTCTTTTTCATTCCATTTTCCCCAATATTTTATTAACCCTATATTTGGAGCAGTTTTGAATGAAGATGTAAGGGTTAATTTCTTATTTAATTATGTGAACATAAATATAATTATTTATTTAATATTTCCTCTTATATTATTTTTTACCAATAATGAAAATAAATTAAATTAAAAACAATAGAATTAAAATATAAACTAATTACAAAAGAATTACTACTAAATCATCTAAAACTAAACTATTAATTCTCATAAATTGTTTAAATATAGAATAAGCAATTTGATATATTAAAAATGTAAAATTTTATCTATCATAGAAATTCATTTAAAATAATCTCCTAAGTTATAAATTATGTATTAATTGAGGAAATGTGATTCCAAAATGGCAATATGAGCTTTTCTTCCTAGAAATGTATCAAAATCACTAAAAACAATAAATAAAATACATACCCATCATAGAATTTATAATCTATACTAATTCTTAAGACTTCATTTTAATGTAATTATCTTAAAATATTAGTAGCCATTTCATTATGTTTTTATTCATTATTAATACCTGATACTTTCATTAATAGACTACTTTCACTATTAACATAATGATCTTATTAAGAACCAAATAAAATAATATTTTTGAATTTATCCATTCCTGGTAATAACGATAGTTTAAGTAATGTATCATCATAACAATTTAATTGAGATAAACTTTAAGATTTTTTTAATTTTTAGAAAAACCACATACCAAATTTAATTAATGGTCTTTGATTAGTCACATTACCTAAATGTGGAGTTCCTAATGTTAAGAAAGTATGGAATTCAAAATCTAAATAAGGTAATGCTGCTCTAATAATAAGTCCTCCTAATGAATGTCCAATAAATGATATTACTAATTTGTCTGTATAAGACCATGTTGCAATATAATTTTTGATTTCATCACTAAGATATTTACCCATTTACAATATATCTCCTTCAGTATTTTATTAATTACAAAGTGACACCAATAACATATGTTAAGGAAATCTTAAACACATATAATTTTCAAGTAATCTCATATCGTATGAATGACCTTAATATCCATGTACCAAAACAATCAGATGCAATTTAGATCTTGATAATTAAAATGTTTATCTTGTAACATAATGTTTTTCAACTATCATCAATTTATCTTTAATTTCATCTATTATTTTAACATCAACTATTTTAGATGGTCCTTAAAGTAATAATTTTTAATATTCTAATCTTTTACTTTATAAGTCTGCTTACTCTTAACTTTATTTCTATTATTAAGGAATCATTGTGTATTAATGATCTACTACTGGAATTACTTCTTTTTAAGTAAATGCAGAATATCTATTCTAAAAATTACTTAATGATTCTTTCTTCATTTATCTTAATATTTTTTAATGTCCTAATTTTAATCCAATTACTATTTTATGCCATAATTAATTTATTGTACTTTTTAATACTTTAAATTCATTTGCCATAACTTTACTAATTAATTATGTATTTTGTTCACTTTTTAATAATGAATCAGCACTAGATAAAGGTAAAACTTAGAAATTTTTAGTTTATCTTAGATTATATTACATTCCTCCACTACTACTTGGTCTTTCTATCTCCAATTCCATATTATAATAAAATGTTTGCATATTTCTATAACATATTTTTAGAGGTTCTAATACTTTATTATATAATTATCTCATATTTATATGCTAATGTTAATCTATTTCTTATTTATTCTCTTATAACACTTACTATAATTATATATCAAAACTTGTTAAAGAACAAAGAACCTAAACATTTCTATATTAATTATACCATTATATTTAATAAACTAAAGTGATCTTCACCTAATATTACAGGAACATATTCATATATCCCATTTTATGAATTTTCAATCTTAAACTTTGCCATTGATATACTTTAAAATGACACAATTTTTTATGTTAAATCATAATACATTAATTCAATCTCCAAAAAACAAGGTTATTCTTTTAAATTATGCGGAATTACTCCACTGAATCTACATCCATTTTTTATATCAAACTTTTCCTTACCTTTTTATAATATTTATTACTTCCTCTGTCCATTATCTCAATAAAAATGCATCGCTCATATAAAAATTATCTATTATGTGTTATGGCAAATATTGCTATTCATTTCTTTTAAATAACAAAGTTTCTTTCGGTGTTAAAGGTATTTTCAAATTTTGGGACTGCAATACTCAAAATCATTTACACTCTATATATATAAATTGATCCTTATTTGATACATTCCCTCATCCAATAAAAAAATCCCTATTGTTTTAAGAGAATCCACAAAAACTATAAATTCAATTATTGCTTTTGCTTTCATTATTATTTTATTTATTAACTTTACTTTTATATATTATTTTAAATTCTTTTGCTTTAAAAAAAATATTCAAATTTTTAGTTTATTTGGTTTAAAAAATAAAAATTACATGAAGTACAGAAATAAATCTTTAAAAACTAAGATTATTTCATGAAGGATGATTCAAAAATTTCTTAATCTAAAAAGGATTATTATTAAAAAATGGAAATCTAGATTATAAAAAAAAGGATATAAAATTACATTGTAATAATTATAAAAAACGTTTAATTTATTTTATTCTTTTATTTGTTGTTCTAAGAAGAGAGTAATTACATTAGAGAAGTTTATAAGAATAATTTCAATATTTTAAAGAAAATGATAAATTAAGTGATTTATTTTCTGAATTATAAATATATAATAATAAAATAATGAAATTAGGAACTCTATTGAAGCTTTTTAATCAATAAGATGAATAATAAGTTGGATTCATATAATTAGAGCAAGTTGATAAGATTTTATTTAATATTTATGAATGCAATAAGGAATGTAAATAAATTCTAATATTATAGATTAAATTTATTTTGATAATCTTCTGTTAAAAGGATGCAAAGAATTTTCGATAGAAGATATTATAATGCTTATAACAGAAATAGATTATTATGAAGAATTAAGACAATCTGTAATATAATAATAGCAAGAATAAAGTTTAAATTAAATATAAAGTGAAATGCTTATAGCATAAATAGAGGTAAATTAACGTGATAGAAGAAGGATAGATTATTTAAATAATCCTTATATAAATAATTTAGTTGCAATGTTGAAAGATTATTATAAAATCTGTTGTAAGAATGGAGATGTTAAGGAAATGAATAGAATAGAAAATAGAATACAGCAAATAAAAACAAAATAATAAAAAAGATGGAAAAACTACATAAATTAATTACAAAAATACTAAGAAACTTTGATTTAAAAAACAGCATTTGAAAATTAATATAATTAATAGAAAAAATGGAATGAGTTTGTTATAGATTTTTAGAATAGTAGATTCTACAAATTTAATATGCTTCTTGTAAAATATTATTAAATATTAATAGGAATAACAAAAAAAAACAATATAAGAGATGAGCAAATAGTTTTAAGAAGAGCTTTAACCAAAAGTTTTCAAAGTATCAAAATAAGTATTAGATATGAGATCTAAATAAAAATAATTGTTAAAATTAAAGGAATTTTAGTAGGCAGAAAAAGTAAAAGAAGAAGCAGATTTGCTTGAATATTTAGAAAAGAAATAATAAGAAATGATTGTAATATAATTTAAATACGTAAATAGTTAAAATCAAAAGTAAAAAATAAGTTAAAAGTATTAAAAAAAAGACAATCGTATTAGATATCAGCATTTATGTAGAAAGTAGCTAGTGAATAAGCAACTCATTTATTGCAAAAATAAGCAAATGAAAATAGATGGATTAATATAAATAAGCATTGTGTTTAAGATATTAATGAGAGATTTAATAAAGATAGGATTATAACATTAGCATCAAGAAGATCTTTTGATGCTTGTAGACTTAGAATAAGAAGTGCCAATCCTTAAGTATAAAAGACTAATATTTCTCATTAATAGAATTCTTAATATGAATGAATACATTTAATAATTCTACTTAAATATCTTTAATTTAAGAAAATAATAGAATAATTTATTATTAAAATCTAACAAGTTATTTATAAAGATATATAACTATAAATGAATAAAAATTCATTTTTATGTTTTAGATTATCTTTCAACCCTGATTCTTGATACTTCTAAATATTTTTGTTATGCAAATTTCTTTCTGACTGCTTGTAGATTGGATTTATCTGAGGATTATAGTACTAAACACATTTCTTTAGCACAGAATCTTAGTTCTTATTCACTATAACCTGTGGTATTTTACATTTCTTCATTCCAAGATTAAGGAGTCTTTCTATGAATATATAATTTTGATACCTTATTTTATGAACTAAATATATAGCAGATGAACTTAAAAAGGATGGCTTATAATTCATAAATTTAATATCAACTATTGAAAGTTCTAATAAATATTATGCTAATAATAAATTTTTAGTATCTAAACCAGCAATTCTTCCAAATCTCTATAAAAAACAATAACTAGATGGTTAAGTAATTGAGAAATCTAAAACCTATAAAATTTGACCTTCCATATCTAATACATCTTATTTTGTATATGCATTATCTGTTATATAAACAAAGTCTTTTAAATCTGGAGGATATATTTCTTCATACTTACAAGCTATAAATAATGAAGCTACTCCAACTAATTATAATTGTTATCTTGTTGTTTTTTGAATATTCAAAAATCTATCAATTAAATATGATGTTATATATAAAGTCTCATCCCTTAATTTAAATTTTAAATGAACATCAACTAACCAATCAACTAAAATTGATCTCATTCTTGCATTTAAGTCTGGTTATTATTATTCATTCATATAATTATTACTAACCATATATTTCTATTCTTAACTTAATAAATATTAAAAAATTTCTTAATTGTATAATGGTGTAAATTAAGGATCTTTTAATATTTGCTAATCAAATTAACATAATTAATTTATATTAGGTTCTTCTTCCATTTGATTTTCCTTTTCTCCACACCATAAATTAAGTTTTAAATATCTTGGTACTACTGTTAAATGCTTTCCTTTATTTTTGTCAAAGTTTTCCTTCTAGAATTCACCAGAAGAATTCACTAATTCTTTACCAAAGAATCTATACTATTCTTGAAGCATTTTACTTATACGTTAAAAATTATAATAATCTGTTAAAAAATAATTACAAATCAAATTATTATATAATCATTTAGTATTCTCTAAATGTCTATATTTCCTAAACTTAAATATGTACTTATACAATAATAGTATAATTCTTTTTCAATTTTTCTTATTTTTAATAGATTAATAGGAATTTAAAAGCAAGATTTCTATTATGATTCTTTCTTTATGAAATAATAATTTTTTTAAATATAACTCAAATAATCATCACAATAACCATCATGCATTACTCTAGAAAATTGGGTTGATTAATTAACAAACCCAAATTTTAGATAAAATTTAAAATAATGTGATGAACAATAAGAGATGATGAACATATTCCCTATAGTTGGTTATGGGTTGTAATTAAAGACTAAGAAAAATTTAAATGATATTAAAATCAAAGTTTTATCAATCTCATAAGTGGAAAAAATTATTGATTTATCTACATTTAATTAGCTTTCAAGAGATAAACCTAATTGCATTTTACCATTATTAAAAAAATAAGAATAAAATCATGATTTATTGAGATGTGAACTATTTCAAAGGAAAATCTCATAATTAATAACGGAAAATGATCAAATTTTTATTGAGAATTCTTATTTACATCTAATTTAAAGTACTTTAAAATATTTGATAACAATTTATGAGAAATCAATATGGTAAAAAGAAATCATGGAAGAAATACTTGAAGTTTGTGAGTAGGTATTATTTGATACAAAATTACATATAAATCAAATTTAAAACGAAGAATTTTAAAATTCATAATTTAAATTACTAAACGTTTTTTGTTTATTTTAATAGAATAAAATTGATCAAGAAGAGATATATAACAAATTTCTATTACCAAAAATATTAAAAAAAACACAATATGATTTAAATGATTAAATGTAAAATGGATTAGGGGCATTTTTTGATTGTTTGAACTTAAGAGAAGATTAATTTAGTTTTGAAAATATAAAGGAAGATATAGAAAAATATATAGAGGAGAATAATTATTTCTATCTTAAGATTTTTTATGGAAAATATTTAAGTAAATTAATTGAATATTTTCTGTGTAAAGAATAAATAAATGATAAATTAAAATAAAAGATGTTTTTTAAATTAAAAGAAAATTAAAAAGAAATTAAATAATTAATATCATCTGGATTGATTTGCTAATAAGAAGTTAATAAAATATAAGAATCAAAAACCTTAATAGTAAATTTTACACAATCCACTATACATAAATATTTATTGAATAGACTTATTAAAGAGGAATATAATTTTGAACACACAAGCAAATATTTTAAATCATTAAACGAAGCTATTTAAACAGATAATTACTATGCACATTTATTAAGACATGCAAAATATGACGATTTAATCTAATTTTATAATATCTACAATTTATTAAATGAATAAAAATGTTCATATGATAATGGATTAAATTAATTTTGTTTATACATTGAAAGAAAATTAATTAGATAAATATCTATATAACAATTAAGAAAAAAGGATTATAAAAGTTTTCAAGAAGTTAGATAATCTTAAGACATTTAAGAAAAAAGTGATACAATTATGATATATAGTAAATTATTTGGAATAAATGGATAAGATGAAACAAAAATTTAACAAATAATATTAGACAGAATCTCTGAAATATGTTGGATAAATTATACAACTTATAAAACTAATTTTTAAGTAGATGAGGAAGTCATAAATTTTATATAAATGGTTAAAGATTTTCCTCAAAATAATTTCGACTTAGATATTTATTCGGAATATTTAAGTGATGTAGCAAAATTTTGTTATAAAATGAAATCATTAACATAAACTTTTAAATATTTTGATAAATTTGAAAAAAATGTATACTAAAATTTATTACCAAAAGATCCTTTTAAAGCAAATATCTTTAAGAAGATTTTTTAACTTACAAAAAGAATAAAAGAAAATTAGTTTAACTTTTGATATATTAATTGTTTTTACTCAAAATAAATATAAATATAAATATTAAAAAAAAGGCATTCAAATTGAATTATGCAATAATTTAAAGACATTTCATTGAATACATTCTATCTATATAAAGAAACTTTGACCGAAGGAGAAAGATAATATTAACAGGGCTAAATTGATTAATTAAATAGTTTTATATAAGCATTGGTATAACAATAAAGGGAAGGGTATAAATATGCTTAAATTTTTAAAATGCTTAAAGAGTAAAATATTAATAATGAATTTACTGCAAGAATTTTAGAGAACAACTTTGATATAAATAAAAAAACTAATTGGTGAATATTGTATAGATAATGTATTTAAGCTATTAATAATTGTTTATTTATATTATATAATATCAGATTAAAATGAACACAAAGACATCTATTCCTATCTTCATATTAAAAACATATTAAATGTTGGAGGTTTCTATAATGTATTATTTAAGGATCAAAATAATACAAATATAATTAGTTGGACTACTTAAGGCACTGCATTTATAGTTTACAATTAAATTTTGTTAGAGAAAGAAGTCTTATAGAATTTCTTTAAGCATAGTAATTATTCAAGTTTTGTAAGGTAAAAATATAAGAGATACATTTGTAGATAATTGAATTTATATAATTTTAAAAAAGTAAAATCAAATGAAGGTTAGATATTTAAGCATAAATGCTTCCGCAAAGGCATGAAGTAAATAAAGTTTGTTAATTAAGATCAATGTTATAATTTATCAAAAGAAAAAATTAAGATGATTCGGTTGGGTCTAATAATATAGGTTCAGAAGAACCGAGTATTTTAGTTATATATTATAAATATAGCCATCCACATAAAAGAGGAATAAAATTTATTTAAAGACTGTGCCATTGATATCAAAGAAACAAACAATAAATTAAAAGAGGATATGAAATTATTATAAGAAACATCTTCATATTTAATTGATTAAATGCAAAATCTAAATCATGTATTTATTAAATAACACACTATAGTTTGTATATAACTAAAGTGTCGATATAGAAGTAAAGTTCAAATAAGTTGGATAAATGTTACATGCAATCAATGAAGAACTTAAGTAAGAAAGTAAAATTTTAATATAATAAATATTAGATAAAAGTGAAACTTTAGCCAATAAATTTTTAGATAAAAAAGAAGAATCATTTTAAGAATCAAAGGTTGGCTCTCCTAATCCATATGTAGATTATAATAGCACAGCACTAAATCCATTAGATTATGAATATTTTATAGACTCATTTTTATGAGAACATTATTTAATTTAATTATTAACTAAAATTAGCTTAAAAAATTCATTATTCTATTTAAAAATATCATAAATAATCAAATTTATCATCTTAGATTGCTA